AAAAATGAATCTTGGTTAGGTTATATTCAATTTTGGAGATTTATTGTGTCACACATTTAATTCACATGGTTTAATGTTAAATATTATCACTTCCATTTAACTATTATGCACTTAGGGGAAGATTATATGAAAATTTCATTTTAAGTTCAGTTTGTAGTTGACAACTAATGCTGTGAATAGGCATCAAAAAGAGTAATTGGGTAGACAATTAAAAAACATTGAGAATGAATATAAACATTCAGTTTCATAGATAACATCACTTCATATATCAAGCAAAGGTTATCTCGACGAACCCTCACCATCTTCGGTTACGGTCACTTCCCCTTTTCTTCTAGCATAAGCTGACCAATTCTAGATAATAGACATGTTACAATACACATGTTTGACTTTTACAACTAATTGTTTCTGGAGTGGAGGTGCCTATTCACAGCCTTAAGTGTTATTTTTAGTTATATTTTAACAAAGTTTCAGTTCAGCTGCAGGCGAATGGAGAATTGACTTGTAAAAGGGTTTCTGCCTGTAGACATTCTTGTTACTCTCTGTATTTTGTTTTCTGGAGTTTGTTTCACCCCCCCCCCCCCAAAAAAANCCCCCCCCCCCCCCAAAAAAAAACATGATAATTGCGCTGTAGAGAACTTTTTGACAACATTCCTCCTAGCACTGACAGGACAACAACAAAATAACTGATGGCCCTTCTGAAAAACTCCTCAATAAATTTAAATGCATCTCTAGCTACTGTAAAAGGGATTGATCAGATTTTTTTGATCTTTAGTAGGTTGCATGCTTTTCTGCTGTCAAAAACCTGTTTTTTCCCTATTAATTAATTAAAAAAAAATAGTGTGTAGCTGAGAAATTTTGTTGTAATTTTGCCCTAAGGCTTGATACCTGGAGAGTTTATAACACCAATTTTGGCATGTTTCGGGCTAAATATCAAAAATTCAAAGGTGTTTCTTGCCTATAACCATTTACTTGAATCACTTTACAAAACTAGGGAGATTTTCTTATCCTTACTTTTTTTTACCAATGCTAATTGAATTAAAGTGTTTTTATGTTTAGTTATTTTAAGTATGTAATTGATTTAACATCTTAATTGAATTTTTAATATTGCAATTACGATGTATATAGTGCAATGGAAAATTACTGTTAATTTATTTCCTAATTGATTCTTATTGGGGTTATTCATTGAATAAATATGAATATAATTACCTATTTATAATTTAGTCACTTTTAATTTAGTAATAAATTGCCTATTGATAAAAAATAGGGTAAACTGAAATTATTATACTATTTAATATACAGGCTTGAGACAATACATAGCTACCAAATCTCTTGATTTTCAAGAAAATTTTCCTTAGATTTTGAAAACGGCAACAAAATTTATATATTAATATTTTTATCTTCATTTAACAAAGTTAAAAGATTTATCGTGATTTTGACTTCCAAGATGCATATTTTAAATAAATATATATAAACCTCTTAACAGTCATCATGAAAAATATTAAGTGTTTGCATAAATAAATTATTCTTGCTTGCAGTTCTAACATTAACTGTTATTTGGCTAGCAACACAAACAGTGGCTTAAACTGTTTAAAAATGTGGCTTATTATTTTACTGTCCAAAGCCTTTTATATTTATCTTTTATTGCACGCTGAATTTCTAAACAGATGATAAAACTGTTTAAAGACATCTATAATTTTCTTGTTCTAACTTGAATCAGTGACTTATAATCTCTTGTTTTAGAAATCAAGTTTTATTACCAAGTGCTGTGGTTTTATACTGCTTTGTTTTGTCTTTGCTTTTGGATATAAAGATACTGTAAATGGATGAAACTTTTATTACATACCGTAAAAATTGATATGATTATTTTTATTCACTTAAATGTTGAAAATTCTTTATATTTATTGTGTAAATGGCAGTATTTAGTAACATAAAAATTCATAGGAGAGCCTCAGTCATTTTTCCTGCACTTCAGAAAAATTTGGATTTCACATACCATTCATTAATTCATAAGATATTATAAATCAATAAAATTCTGTGTATGGCAAAAGTTTATGAAATTAAAAGTGTAAATTCAGAAGAAGGGAATATTGCAATTTTTATAGAAACAGCAAAGAAATCTTTTGTTTTCAGTAAAAATTTACTGTCCATAGTTATTCCCATTGCTTATATGTATCTGTGATAAATAATTGTTGAATGATGAGTTTGTTGTTTCGAATGCCACTTGCCACACGGGCAAGCCTGCTTGGTGAAACTGAGCAAATTTAAGGCCGAGTGTGCATTTCTTGTTTTCCAGTGGCGCCATCTATGGCCAAGAATTCGACTTCTGCCACATCATACGTCGCGCCCGTTTATAGGGCAGACCCATTCATACATTCATCCACAGATCGTAATTTTGACCTGAATCAGAGAACGATCGATCTCCAATCCAGTACCCCCAGAGGTATTGATTTGTTATGGGAACATGGAGAAATTTTGCGACTCGACAGATTTAACGTTCATCAGTCACTTTACTACACTGGGAGTCTTCGGCCGACTGGGTTCGAACCCACGAACTCTTGGGCATGTGCCCAGGGCCCTACCAACCAGGCTGTACAAATGACAGATTCAAAAACAAGCAAAGTATTGTTATTATCTGCAGCAAGTTATATTTATAATATTTTAAAACCTATTTTAAAAAAAGACATTTTAAAATGGTCTAATTTAATTAGTATATAGCATTTCAGTGGTATTTTAAAAAATCTCAATTTTCTGAGTTGATGAATATAAAATAAAAAACGATACCTCTAAAATACAAATATTTGAAATACTGAAGTTGACCTAGTAATGCCTGATTTCATGTGGATTACCTGTAGTTTCCTTCCCAAAATTTTTTTTAATTAAAATATTTTCTAAATTTCTAGATAAAAATCATTTGATATCCTTCAAAATATTTTCATGACAAGAAATGCCGATATTATAATTTTGTATAAAACTGTAAGTTCTGCAGATATAAACCCTTATATCATACAGTAAATATTAATTATTTACTTCTAAACAACTGTTTATACTAAATAATTTGTTGAGGTAATTGCGTATTAGAAAATCAAATTCTAAGAACTATTTAGAACATGTTTGTGCTATAGGCTATCACTTTTCAGATCTGAATTTTTAATTGTTTTATACTAACTTAATTTTTATATCTTTTTAGTTTTTTTAAAATTTTATTGTATTCTTTCCTGCAATATAAATTCACAAATGTTAATATTTCAGACATTTTGTTTTAAAAATTTAATTTATTTAAAATATATATTTTTTAGCAGTATATGTTTCCTGTCTCAATCTAGATGCGTGTGGTATGTATCCATGTCCGTGGTGTCCCTACATTTCGCGAGTGAAAGGCTCTCTAAAATTACATATGAGGTCACATATTAAGAAGAAATCACATTCCTATCTTTTTCTCTCATAAAACCTTTATGTAGAAGAATTTGACATTTATGACTCTTCATTCTGGTGAACATTTTATGATTACAAGTTGCACTATAAGTTTTACTCTGAGGTGTAATTTTCATAGTCTTGTAGTATGCTATTAATTATTATATTAACTTATTATGCATAATGACATTCATTAAACAATGAGTTCTGGTTATAATCACAGTGTCTTTTTAAAATTAATTTGCTAATAATGTTATGCCCAACTCTTTCTGAATTAATTCAAAGTAGAATCACTTAAATACTACATTCTGGTGCACATCCTTGTAAGTGCAATCATTGCACTAAAAATTTCACATTGAAGGTTTATTTGCGCAGTCCAGTGTCTCATAATGTCATTCATTAAATAATGAATTCTGGTTTGTTAATAATGTCTTGTTATAATTAATTTGCTAATGTCAAGCCTGTCTCTTTTTGACTTAAATAATATTTAATAGTTTAATTTAAATAACATGAATATAGTTTAATTTAAGTAAATAGAATAACTCAAATTGTAACACTTCATTTTAGTTCATACTTATGAATGCAACCATTGCAATAAAAGTTTCACTCTAATAGGTAACTTGCAAAATTGCGATTAATTCTCTGTAACATTGAATTCAGGTTTGTTATTAATTCTGTAAATTCTACACAAATTTATATGCAAATTTGTCTTAAAACTTTATTATAAATTTTTATGCATTGGCTTAGAATCTATGAACGATGAAAGTCATTACTGTGAAGAACAGAAACTGTAATATTTTGTCCTTGGACCATTTTTATAGTGTTATTTATTGAAAATTATTTAATATCATTTTTTTGACATTATTGTCTTATTTTTATTATGAATTGAAGAGCTGTATTAAAAAATTCTGGTTAGCAATTAAAACAAACTGCAACAATTTTTTAATGAGACATAATATGCCTTAATTTATTAATGCTCTTATGGAAGTCTTGATTTTTTTAGAATTTTTTTAATTAAGCATTGAATGATGTTAAATTTTGATTACTGTAAGTTCGTTACTTCATGGATTATTGTATATTGTTCACTTTTATTTAAATAGTGTCACGTTGTATGTGGTTGATTTCAAGCTATATTTTAAGAAATAAATGCTTGTAATATTTTTTATACTGTGCTTTTTATTGTTTTTTATAAAAATGGGTTTTGTTTATTTTCTGATAATTATTTCAGACACTGCTTTTATTTAAAGATTATGTGATGTGGAAAAATATATTATGTGTTTGTTTTCGTATGGATTGACGAACTTGATACAAAAAAAATCTTCTTTACTTAGAATATTGATATATAAACTGTCTAAAATTAATTTATTTGCCCCATTTCTATTAGCATTTTATCTCTATTGTACAAGTAATATTTCCTTAAACCATTTAAATAAGCTTGGGGTCGAAAATAATGACTAGTTGTAGTCACGAGTTTTAATGCTTATCTTTATGGTTTTAAAAACCTATTCATGTATCATTTTGCTTTAATAATGTAAGTATAATATGCTTAATTAAATTTTAATTTTATTATGCAATTTTTTATTAATATTGATTAAGAAATTACTGTTCACTTTTAAAGTTTATCATTTAAAATATTCTCAAAGCCTGTTCATGTTTATTTTTCTAGATTTTTTTTCCTCCATTGCACAAAAAGATGAATGTGGTTTGCACCATTGCCCCTTGTGTCCATATGCTTCACCAATATCAACGAATGTCAGAGTGCATTTGCGAATCCATACTGGGTTGAAGTCTCATACTTGTAAAATCTGTGGCAAGTCCTTTTCGCAGAAGGCCCACCTGATTACACACATGAGGCTGCATTCAGGAGAACGTCCCTTCAAGTGTGATCTTTGCACCAAAAGTTTCACTCAAAAAGTGCATTTACAGAGACATTATTTTCGGTGCAGTAGGAACTAAATTTGATTGACTCTCTGATTTTGAACCACAGTGTCTTAAAATCTCTAGTGAGCATTTTCATGCCTTTTGTTGATAATTTTTATGACATTCAAGCCAAATGCTTCTACGACATGTGTTCCTTTGTTTGTTTGTTTTTTGTCAATATTTTCTAATAATCGATCCCTAACAGATGTCAATTTTTTTTTTGTCCATTATAAACTTAAAAGTCACAAAAAAAAACTTTTTTTTTTTTTGGATAATTTATATGAAACCAAAATATCTTAAACTAAATCTTGACATTTTTGGTCAGCATTTACATGCCTTTTTTTTATAATTTTTGTTATTTTCAGGCTAAATGCTTCTTTAAGCGGTGATTCACTGTTTTTTTTTGTGTGTTTTTTTTCTTGTCAATATTTTCCTAATAATAGATCCCTAATAGATAGCAATCTTTTATCCATTATGAACTTAATAGTCACAAAAGAGACAAATTATTTTTTTTTTGATAATTTATATGAAACTAAGATATCTTAAACCAAATCTTTGCACTTTTAGTGAGCGTTTTTAAGTCTTTTGTTGATAATTTTTGTTCTATTCATTCTAAATATTTTTTCAGCCGTGTTTTACTTTTTTTGTCAATATTTTCTTATAATGGATTCGTAATAAATATCAATCTTTTTTTTCTATTATAAATTTAAAAGTCACAAAAAATAAAAATTATAGATATGTTATTTACATCTTTTTTTCTGGATAATATTTCTAAAACCAAAATAAAAGGAATTTATTCACTTACATGAATATTGTAACATAAAATTCATAATAACAAAACTTAAAAGAATAAGATAGTAATGTTGGCTGTATATGTTATAGTAATTCAAAAAGTATTATTTGTTAAGTTTAGTTCATATGTTTGTCATTTATTTGTATGCATTTCTTGTTATTAACTTATTAATAGCCAATCTGCAATGCTTCAATAATATTTTATTAAATAATATTAAATGTCCTAACTATAAACAGAATCTCGCTTAAATTTTTTTTCCCCAAAAATTTTGAGAAGTTCCTAAAATTTATCTGATTTTAAGAAAATGAAAAATTTTCCTGTATTAAAAAAATATACTGGTGTTTTTGAACATCTTTTAATATTCTTTATAGACTACAACATGACATGCTTCATTCCTGATTCTTTCGGTCTAGTTTAACAGTATAAAAATCTACTGTCATGGAGCTTTTGCACTAAATTAAAGGCATTATCATAATGCAGCCATATAAAGTCTGTCCCTAATGCTGTATCTGCTTCGGACATAATGACTGAAAATAATTGTGGGAGATTTCAAGGAGAAAAAAGTTTCCTTGCATTTATATTTATTAATATATTTATGGAATGCAAATGTAACAATAAATAGATCAATAAACAAAATATTTCACTATAATGGAATTGGACTTAAAATAAAACAACTCTATTATTGACTAAACGCTCGATATAAGCTGTCATTGATAAAATGTAAAAGAAATATATATTTTAAAAATAATTTTTAGGAAATTAAGTCACAAAGTAAATCCAGGAAGTATGGTTAAGGCCACATTTTGGACACTATATGTAATATAATTTTTTAATTTGCCGGAAATTTTTTATAATGAATAATAATTCTCAATATGGTAATACTGTACTAAGCACTTCCCCACCCCATGGAGGATCCTTTTTTTTTTCTTTTCTTCCCCCATATCAAAGAATTTTACCACATTGCCGCTAATGAGAAAAGAAATACTTTTTAAGTCTCTGAATAACTGACTTGCTATATGGTCTCTGACACATTCAACCTTTATTCACTCTTTATTATTTCACTCCATTGTTCCTGTTTCTGAAGAAAAAAAAACATATTACTATATTAGACTGCCAGCTAATACAAGACCCTGTCCTCGTAAGTGTGTGTGTGTGTGTGTAATGTTGGACAAGAGAGTCCAATTGAACTTAGGGAAATAACTAATAAGTGGTATAGCCATTATTATTTGGTTTCATTTTTGTAGCATCTCTACATAAGTGTTTCCACTATTAAAATTCCAATTCTCATACTTATAATTTGTTTTTCTTTTTTTGTGGATTAAAACTTCATAACTATATACAGGGTGCGTAGCGTTTTTAAAAGGTGCTTATTTTCAATTTTCGGTTTTTAAAAGCCCTGAAAGGTGTTTTCTTCATTGGGTATTTTCAAAAAGTGCTTGATTTTCCCTATTTCAAATAAGATTTTTCCTTTACCATGTTGATTTTTGCTACGAATCATGCAAAAAGACAAAGTTTACATTGTTCTATTCAATGTTTTCATAATTAATTCAACTCCAATCTTTTTCGGCGCATTGTCAGTCCATGGAGTAGGAAAACGCCATTCGTTTTACATGATTCAAAATTTCATGATTTTTTACAATTGTCAAAAACAATGNTTTTTTTTTTTTTTTTTTTTGACATGGCGGTTAAAACAAGATAAAACTGTCAATTGTCAAAAACTTCGCAACCCTGCCTAATTATGATATTTTTTTAACGTGCTTAAAAAATTTTTTGAGTTCTTGAAAAGTTCTTATTTTTTGTCAAATAATTTGACTACGCACCCTGTATAATGATTTCTGAAGGACTTATCTTGTTATTACAATATTTTAAAAAATACCAAAAAAAGGTAAAACATTTAGATAATTTTTTTAATGGGCACTTCATCTATATCATTTTATAATAATATTTTTTTAAAATATATATTTGAGTGTGAATGGTCCAATTTGTTACTCGTATGATGTTTTGCTATTTGTTAAAAAAAGTTAGGAATTAATATAATTTTGAATTTGAAGTTAACAAGGCATTTCAATCTAGTCAGGATTGTGATCGCTTATGTGCAATTACACAATTCTCCCCTCAGGGCCCTAGGTATCATATATAAAACAAGACTTTCTGACTCTAGATAGCCAAAATCTTGTAGACGAAATCTGGATCTCTCATTTCAGTACGTAAGCGCTATGAGTAAACGAGCCTTGAAAAACACTTCTTTCTCATTTTTCTGGTCCTGAAGGGGTAAGATGTAAATTTTTTTTCTTTAATTTAATTTTTGATTGCTCCCTTGTTGTGAAATATTAATGTAACCTAATAAAATTTTTAATGTTATTGACATCCTTGTTAGTTAATTTACGTTTAAAAGTTATTAAATTTCATTTTTATCTTAAGAATGTATTTCTTAAAAGCAAGTGCATTTTCCTATCTTATATAAATTAAAACTAGAGCTGGCACAATTTTTGTTTTTTTTTTATTTAGGAAACTTTGAAACTCTGCATTCAATTGTGAATGATTCTTGTATATTAAGATAACACTTGTTGGGCATACATAGTACAGCATTCTGAGATGTTTTAAATGACACTCAAAACATGAACATTAAAATCAGTATTAAAAAATCATTAACAAAAAAAATTTATATAAAAATTAAATTTACGTGATTTAAATGGAATTTTTTATTTAAATATTATTTTTTTTTATATTCACTAAATGAAATATCTGATAAAATATGTTAATAATACTCAATATTGTTTAAAAAAACATAACTAAACTCATGTTTGTAAAAATTGCAACATCATGAAGGACTTACGCGAGTGNTTTTAAATGACACTCAAAACATGAACATTAAAATCAGTATTAAAAAATCATTAACAAAAAAAATTTATATAAAAATTTGATTTACGTGATTTAAATGGAATTTTTTTATTTAAATATTATTTTTTTTATATTCACTAAATGAAATATCTGATAAAATGTGTTAATAATACTTAATATTGTTTAAAGAAACATAACTAAAATAGATAATATTCCTTGCTAAAATACTTAAATTAGACACCAATTTAGTTAGAAATAATTTATTATTTCATCATTAAAAACAAATTACTTAATAAATAAAATAATAGATTATTTTTTAAGGCTTATCACAATAATGAATGTTAACAATTGAAAGAAATTTGCCAATTAGATATTCAATGAAGAGTAAATTATAAGAAAACATTACTGAAAAAAACCCAATTGTTTTATATTACTTTGGGTAGAACAAGTGTCTTTCTTCGTTATTGTTATACACTGTTTCCATACTTAAGTTTTCAAAGCATTTGTTTTAAATTAAACATGAAATTAAATGGGTATAGTTAAAATATATTTATTACCAGCAAATTATTTTACTTGCAATTAATGGAAAATTATAATTTAAGAGTTTCCTGCCACTCTTATCTACTTTTAGTCTTCTTTTTTTTTTTGGTCTATTTTAAAAAATAATAATTTATATATTTTATAGATTCTTTTCATCAATTTTTAGTAAAAATCCTTCATCCTTGAGGAAAACAGATTTGAAAATAAATAAAATCACCCTTTGAAGAATGTATTTATTAATTATATTATGTAAAAAATATGTTAGACTTTAATAGCTTTTTTATTACAGTTGATTTAAATTAATAGTTTGTTTTTTTTTAAAGTGTATATGTGATTTAAATCGGAACTCAAATCTTGATTTTAATCAAGTGATTTAAATAGTGCAAACCCTTATTAAATAATTTTTTATAATCTTCTTCGAAACTTCAACTGCTTTAAATATTAAAAAAAAACTGGGATATTTTTAATCTTTATCTCAAATCTTATTTTATATGTTGTATGACTGTCTTCCTCCGTATCAAACTGATCTTTTTTTTTCGTTTAAAAAATCCTACTTGGCACAAAAATGGTCTTTAGTTTTTTCTAAGTGATTGTAAAGTTAAAGGGCTTAAACTCATAAGCATTAACAAAATTTCTTTTAATTTTGTGTAACTGTTTAAGGCTATTTGATCATAAATTCATAAGGTGTCTAAAAAAAGAAACATTTCTTGCTAAATTTGAAAGTTATTTGGTATTTTCATAAAATGGATATGTTGAAGATGGCCTCCAACAATTTAAGCTTGTATATTCATAAAGTTTCTCAATTAACTGAAACTGAATAAACTCAAAACATGTTGCAATGAAAGGGCTTTCAACAGATGCATTTTAGAGAGAAGCCCATTGTATAGCTATAAAATTTAAACCTCTTTATAGGTGAAATATTATAGTGCCTATATATTTTTTCTTTACTTCTAATACACTTTTGGTTTGCCTGATCTTTCCTATAGTTGATTCCTGAGTTAAATAATTTCTTGCTAAAGCTTTGTAATTCATTGCTCTTAATTTAATTCATTAAATTTACAAAAATATTACTTAATGCTCTGATGATAGCAACATAATAGTTAAAAGCATACATTACAATGCGTACTGACTTTGGATCAAGATTTCAAAAAAAATTAATTTTTCACATTGATTAGCACATCAAGCATTACTTTTTTCTTTTTCCTGTCTTTACTTTTTTTCTTTTCTTTACTTTTTTCTGTCTTACTGTGGTCAACATTATGTTTTAAGTTATGATACCGAATTTACTTTAAAATAATCTTGGTCACTTTCTTGAACTAACCAATTTTATCTCCATATTCTTCACTTGAAAAATACAACCCACCATTGATATTTTTTACCATGATCATCAGTATCTAAAGACTTAATCTTTCGCACTTCCGTGATAATATTTAGTATTCAGAAAAGCGTACAATTCACTTAAGTTTTGTGGTTGCAATTCACCAATTACTCTTACTTAATTGCGAATCTAATATTAGAAGTATTCCACAAGTAAGCTGACAAAAAAAAAAAAAAATGTNAAAGCACCACGACGTTCATCTTCAGTGGATACCATCCCACGTTGACATCTTTGGAAATGAGCAAGCGGATCGCTTGGCCAAGGAGGGCTGTAGTCATTTAACATCTTCGTCCTCAGCCCTTACCTTTTCTGAGTATCAATCCAAAATCAAAAGCCATTTATCAAAAAAGTGGAGGATCCCTCCCTCTCATCATTGGTATGCGGCCAAGGAACCGGGCTCTTCACTTGTTCATGTAGGTGATAGAGCATCTCAAACAGCTATTTCCAGACTGGCAAGCGGACACACGAACAGTCTCTCGTACTTTAAAGGAAGAAAGACTTATGCAGTTTGCTCTAAATGTGAAGCCCAGCAGGCCTCAGCAGAACATATCCTCGACTGCTTGGGCCTTTCCAAGGAGGACTTATATGCTTCTCCACTTCTTGTAATCGACTTTTTGAGGATCAAAGGGTCAACAACTTACTGGATCTTGTCTGACCTCGTCAGACAATTAGAGGATAAACAACAACAACATATATCAGATAGATCTCTTTTCAATGTTACATTTACAGTTAGAGATATAATTGAGCAGGAATTTGCGCTCTCATGTGGTGAATCACTTTAAAGAGTCAACCAACTCACCTGTGCTATCCATACGCTTTGTCTTCATTTCAAAAATGATTTATTAGGACTTTTATGAGCACTGATAATGGGTTTTGTAATCTAATAAATTTTTCCAATAATCTCTGCATCATATCATTTAATTTTTATTTAAATGCATATAAACTGATTTTGATTTTCATATAATTTAAATTTGTTTGTATAAAAGTTATTAGACATCTTTCAAACAAGTCATGGCTTAATTAAATACATTTTTTCCTCAACAGCACAGGCTGCTTTTTTAATTAAAAATATACCCTGAAATATTTGATTTACATGAATGCAAAAATTTATTTTGCTTAATTTATATAGTTTAGTTTTGTTTCTGCAACAATTCCGTATCTTTAAAAATAAAATCATGCTTTATTCATTCCCACCTACATGGGTTGTTTTCTTTAGCTCATGGATCCAACAATATTTACTTTTTTTATAGTACTTAAATTGGTAGTTCATGAATTTTATATGATTTGATTTTGTTTGTTAAACCATTGTTTTATATCCTTGAAACAAATTGTGCTTTTTTGAATTGCAACTTTTTTATTGCCTACTGGGCTCTCTGTTTACTCTTCGCTTTCATTTTATTGCACCAGACTTAATTTATTGCTCCCTGTGGTTTCCTTACCATGAGGGCAACGTGTTTTTATGTTTAATTTAGTATTCTTGTACCATAACTATTTTAAATCAAATTCAAGGATCTTTTTTTCTCATTTTGTTTTACAACCTAGTTTGATTAATTGAAATTTTTTACATTTTAAAATTAATATCCTCTAATTTTACTCAAAAGCGTAAGCTAAACTGTAAGTCTCCCAAATATGGTAACTATCCATTATAATAAACTAGTTTTCTCATTCTAACTAAAAATCATTTATATATCTTTAGCATTATACTGATGTTTAAATATCATCAGCATTAATTAAATCAGTACTTGTAAAAAATCGCAAAATTGCAATTTAACTCTGTTGAATTGCAATTTTGATCCCAACCCAAAAAACAAGGGAGTTCCCGGATCAAGCAATGTGACAGTATAACCTTCGAGGAAGACTTTTTGATCAAACTAACCCGCATTTGTATTGTATGAAGAGGAAAACCTTCCACGTTTAACCAGACTACAAGAGGAATCTAACCCATACTCCATCTACCAAAAATGTTTTACGTTAGCACTGTGGTCGGTGAAAGCCGGGAACGGATTCGTAACAACCAGACACCACGGAATTCAAACCTGGGTCACCTCATTGGGAAGCAAATGCTCTAGCCCCTGAGCCTCGATTGTTCTTAATCATTTATTTGAATGAAACCATTTTTGCATGTTCCATAGTCCAAAAGAAGTCTATGCTTTAGTTCATCTACAACTGATGATCTATGACTAAAAAAGCCTACTTTTTCCCATTTTAAAATAATTGCTTATAAAACTTGTAAAGAGTCTTCAGAAGTAGAGTTTTTGTAAATTCACAAGATGCCTTAATCTATATTTCTTTCATTATATGTCTTAGTATTATAAGTTTTTTATTTGAAGCAAAAACATAATTTATATACAATGAGATTTTTTTCGTTGTTGCAGGGATTTCTGATGCTTACCAAAATGAAGAAGGTTTATTTGTTTGTGAATTCTGTACATATTCTACCAATAACAAATATAGTTTGAAAACTCACGTAAGCATGCATACCAAAGAACGGCAGTATATATGTGGAGTGTGTCAAAAATCCTTTAACCAAAAAGGTCATCTGAATCAACATTACAGAATACACACTGGTGAAAAACCTTATAAATGTGACATTTGCAATAAGCAATTTAATCAGTCATCCAATTTGCGTTCTCATAAACTTAAGCACATTAAAAAAAATGTATTTATGAATGCTGATTATTACTAATGTATTTATCATAATGATTTGAAAAAAGTGCTCTGCACAATATTTTACTTCAATTAAAATTATAATTTTGCATATATTTTTAAATAATTGTGATTTATTGTTGCAATATTAGTCTAAACTTGTACTATTTTAGAAAAAAATTATTTTCTGTACTGTTATAATTTTTTTCAATGGGAATCTCTGATGCTTACCAAAATGGAGGTTTATTTGTAGGCAAATTCTATACATATTCTACAAGTAACAAATATAATTTGAGAACTCACATAGATATGCATACCAAAGAACGGCAGTATATACTTGGAGTGTGTCAAAAGTCCTTCAGCCAAAAGGGTAATCATCATCATTATAGTAAGCACATCGGAGAAAAACATTATAAATTAAATGTAGCATTTGCAATAAGCAATTTAATATATCATCCAATTTGCATTCTCATGAACTTAACCGCATTAAAAAAATGTATTCATAATTGCTAATTATTACTAATATATTACAATGATTTGAAAAAGTGCCCAGCATAATATTTTGCTCTAAATGAAAATATTATAAATTTTCATATTTTTTAAATCATAACTTATTAGTGTTATATTAATTATAAACTTGTACTATTTTGAAAAAATAATGTTTTATATACAACAATTTTTTGTTTGCTGGAATCTTGAATACTTTCCAAAATAAAGAAGGTTTGTTTGTGAATTCTGTACATATTCTACAAAAAATTACACAAAAATATGCCTCATTAAATAATGCATGTATTAGATGGTATCGATCAGTGATCATATTAATATCTTATTTGTTTACCAATATTAAAATAACTCTTCATGCAGTTTTCTGATATATTTGCAAGAAGCTTCAATAATTATCAAAAAGTAAGAAATTTTTGCATAACAATGAAAATGAGATTTCTCTGTACCAATGAAACAATATTTTAATGACACGAATTATTTTAGGAAATTGATAAAAACAATTACATTTATTATTTTTAATAAAATACATCCTTTAAATTAATACGTGTATATCTTTTCAGTTGATTGTATTAAAATTTTATTTGTTTACCAATTTAAAGTAATATCTTTTGATACTATTTTTTAATGTCTTTGCAGGAAACTTCAATAATTATCGAAAGGAAGGAGAATTTTATATTTGTATGTTTTGTGCTTATTCTACACCTGTCATCGGTAACATAAAAAAGCATGTAAAGATGCATACTCAAGAGCGACAGTATAGATGTGAGGTCTGTCAAAAATCTTTTATTCAGAAATCTCACCTCACAGACCATTATCGAATACATACTGGAGAAAAACCTTTTGCGTGTGATCTCTGCAGCAAAACCTTTAATCGATCAACACATTTGCGCCGCCATAAACTTATTCATTTTAGGTTAACTTGAGGAAAATGGATTGTTTATAACTACTCTTATGTTTATTATTATAATTTTGGACTAAAATTTATACGTATTTTATTATTTACTATTTGAAATTGTGCCGTGCTCAAATAAAAAATGAAACACCCAGAATAACTTTTGATCTAATGATCGGATTCACAAGCTTAATGGTTCCATGTGGTGACTTAAAATTTACTAATTAATAAGGGCAGACGATATTTTAAGTATTAAGTCAGTTGCAAAAACTTACTTTCTCCATATAAACAAATATTTTCTTTTTTGGTGGACTTTTTTTCCACATCTTCAAAATATATTTATAATTTATTTATTTATGACCGTCGTTTAACAGCCGACCCAATTTTATGGGTTTATGACTATTAATGTTCAACTCCGTAGCCTTGTAATTTTTAACCCAATCCAGAAGACAAGCTAACTCCTGGGTCAAGTATTGGGAGAAATTTGCCTTTGTGGAGTACTTTTTAATGGAACTAACCCGGCATTTGCATTACATGACATGGAAAACCTCCTACGTTTAACTTGACAGCAATGGGATTTTAACCCATGATCTGTCTACCACTGAGAATATTTTATGTCAGCATTGTAATCAGTGCAAGCCGGAAGCGGGTTTCGTATCGACCAGCCGTCACTGGGATTCAAAACTGGTTCACCTCATTGGAAGACAAACACATTATCCCCTGTGGCTCATCGTGGCTAATCTTCAAAATATTTTTTATTTCATGACTGTCGTTGAACAGCCAGATTCGAACCCGGTTCACCTCATTGGAAGGCGAACGCTCTATTCCCTAAGCCATCGCGACTCATCTTCAAAATATAGGGGATAACCGCAATCTGGAAAATATAGTTTGGTCAGAAGAGTAGTCCATTGCCTTAATGTTAATTTTTCGTATTTCACCATATCCGGAGATTTTTTTTAAAGCACAATTATAAAATTCATTTTCCTGAAAATAATTCCGTAGATAAAATAATTTTTAATAATTTATCATTTTTTTAAATAATAGTAAAAAAAAATTTCTAATTGTGAGGTATACAAATTTTTAAATCATTTTAAAGAAAGCAATTTTCGAAAGCAAAATACAAAGTTGGGACGAAATCTGATGAATAACTCCTGAGAAATCAAATTTTAAAATGTCTGATCTTGTAATTTAAAATATCTGATCTAATTAATTAGCATATTTGTCACTGTCCCATGAAACATTAAGTTTTGAGTCCTAGTGCGTGAAAATCTGATCTTTCTTTCAAAAGTTATTCAGAGTGATTTGTTCTTCATTTTGCACACTATACTTATCACGACTTTATAAAATTAAGTAAATTTTGCTTTGCATATTTTCGATTCAAACAGTGCCTTATTTTATACACATATATTTGAAAATTTATGTAGAACTATTGAAATTTTAGTAAATATATATTTCAATTTAATTCTGATCATTTCTAATTGTGTACAAAAAATGCTTCTAATGTTATGAACCAATAAGAAATTATTTTGAGATCATAGAAAATTTTCCCTTTCAGTAACATTTAATCTACCGAGTGGACTTTTAAGCATTAAGATGCAATTCTCATTGATCAAGTGGTTCCACCTAAGCTATGATATGTGCAAATCAAAATTTAAGCTACGAAGTCAGTTACAAATATGTGTACTTTTTCTGAATGAACATGTGTAGATTTGAATAATATTCCAGATAGCTGCAATCTATAAAATAGTCCCATTATTTCAGTTCAAGTAATTCAAATTGTCAGGCAGCTACCAAAAGAGACCAGAATTGCTGTTAGGTGTCCTTGACTTAACGTCTAATATTAATCCTTTAATAATTCAAGCTGACCCTGAACTTAGAAATGCAGAAAACCCCTGGTATTGGCAAAAACTATCCTTAAATATTGATCCTTCAATGTTGGTTTAGTCTTATTCTATATTACAATTTTTTTTTAAAACAATTGTGTGAAACATAAAGTATTTTCACCCATTTATAAAACTTGTTTTGTGAATTATAATTTCTTGCAAAAATTATATCTGTTAAAATTTGGTTATTTATTTTAATAATGTCTGAAAAATTTCCTGATTTGTAACATATTAAATTTTTCCTTACTGTGTAATTGCCAATTACAAAATTTAAAATTTGAATGAAATCTGTTGAGTAATTACTAAGAAATAATCATTAAAAACTAAAATTATTTCATCTATTATGCTCAAATGTTAAATTTAGTTTTCTAAAGATGAGTAGTTTGAAGAAAAGAAAATTACAAAATAGCTTGCATTATAAATTTTAAAAAAATCTGATCATTATTAAATAAAATAGTAGCAAATAATTATTAAAAATTCGCTTTTCGGAAACATTTTTGTGAAAGTAACATGACATTAATGCGTTTAAACTTTTACTGTTATGAAGAAGGTTTGAACTGTACCTCAAGAGCTCAGAAATTGGAAAAAGTGTATGTATATTCAGGAAAAGTATGCTATGTCACTGCTTTTCTTACTTGAAATAGAGTTTGCACCAAATAGTTAACATATCTTAAGTGAGTTTCTCAAACTATAAAAATCGTATCTTAATGGGGAAAAAGATCATAACAATCAATAGTTCAAAAGTACTTGTGGGTGTAAAAATTTTTTTATTATTGTTATTTACTTTGATCTACAACTAAAACTCGAGTACAAGCTATTTTTTTATATTTGTATATTTTCGTTAATTTGTATTCAAATGTATTTCAAATTTTGTCTTTTTAACTGTATTATTCTAATGTATCAGTTTACTGCCCCGATAGTTGTAAATTCTATGAGTATCCCTCCTCCCATATGAATTAAGTATGTGCCTCACATGAACTTTAGTATCAATCCTTCTGGGCACTTTTTAATTGATTGTCAAAAAATTGTGGTTTATTTGTTTGTGCGTATTGTACTATTTCCTTAGAAAAAACTTAATATTTGAGTAACCAGGCATACTAAATAATAGCTGTATATATGTTCGCCACAGCATGAATGCTTTACTGAATTGTGAAAATCAACTGAAATGTCATTACTGAAAGTGTATTTGAAATAAATGTTTTAATAAGGCAACTGATCATCTGGTTTGCGTTGTATTTTTGAAAAAAAAATATGCTTTGAAGCTCTATGATTATTATTGATATGTTAACTACAAAAAATTTAGAAAAGCAACTTGAATATAATTTAGTTTTTAATTTTTTTTCGTAGTGCATATAAATTATCTGTATAATGAAGTATTGATAAGAGAAACCAACTGGAATAATTTCAGACTTTAAAAAACTTGAACTTTGGGTAATTTTTATCATAAATATTCAAATTAAGTCCTTTGATTTATAGAATTCAGATCAAGGATACTCAACTGTATTTCTTAATATCTGCTGTCATTCATTTTGTCAATTATATTTGATATATATATATATTTTTTTTTATTGTATCTGCTCAAATACTGAATGTGCACTTGAATAGTCTATTTCTATTGCACATTTTGATAATAGATTTAGATAAACCTTTTTTTCTTTCTTATTCTAAATTAAGCATGAGCAGCTGTTCAAATTAAGCAGAATTAAAAATTTCAGATATTTTTGTAATTTTAAAAATTTGAAGTCAAATATCAGTGTTTTTCCTTAATTTATGAAGCATTTTTATTTTTTATTGTAACCAGCTTTTATGGTGGATTTATTGTAATAAAAATTATGATATTTTAGATTCAATGCTGGTTTTATTATTTAAAATGACATTTTCACTAATTTGATTTTCATACACTTTGTACAATATATTTTAATTATGTGAACTATACTTTATTATTGAGTACTCTGTGTAAATATAAATAATTGTTTCCATATTGCATTATATTGAGAAATTTTATATAAGTATTTATGAATGTGGGAAAATTACAAATCAAAAACCAAAAAAAGAAACAGATTGCTGAAAATTAATCAGAAAAAATGAAAAAGTTAATAAAAATGGTTTAAAAAAATTTGATTAAATTAAATAATTGACCACGACAATATATAACCTCATTTTTAACCCACAGCATTATAATCACAAAAGGTGCTTTCTGATATTGTATCAAAAACATTAATATTATATATTTATAAATAAGTAAGTAAAACAAAGTCGTCTATTGACTGTTAGACAGAAAACAAATGTTTTTTAAGACTAATTTTCTGCAATCCAAGCTTTATCAATAATTTTACTTATAAAAGTACTCATATAATTAAGTAGTGTTCATAAACCTCAGTTTATAGTTCTTTTCATAATATCAGCAACAATTGCAACCTAAAGTGTGCATTAGTAAGTAATTTCTTTCTACATAAACTGTACATTTTATGAAATACAAATTTTTTACACCCTAAAGCTGCTACTAGAACTTCTCTTTTAAGTGTCACTTAAAATTTGCTACTAGCAATTGAGGGTCTCGAGACAATGACAAGGTAATTTCAAATTTTTTCCTCTTATTGAATTTTTGATTCAGCCACTTCAATAATTTTACTACCATTTCAATAACCAGTCATGAATGTATAATCAGATCATTCCTGTGTTATAAATAGTGTGGGAGAATACAATTTGTGAATCTGAATTTACCTAGTTATTGTACCAAACTACTTGTTCAGTCACTGCACCTACTCATCACTTAAGCTTATTAATCCATTTTTTATATTTGTTCTAAATTTTTAATATCTTATAATAAATCAAACCTAATGTTATTCAATTCACAAGCTCATTTTTTTAAGCATGACTTATTTCTTTATGCATTTTATTGTATGAATATTTCAACTTATGCATTTAGTAATACTGATGTAAGTGATATTGATGTAACTTATGCTTTCCATTAGAATTAAAAATAATGCATTTTAATATATATATTTCTTTCACAGGCACCTCTGCTGCTAAAGACTTGAAGAAAAGAGCTTTGCATTTTTGTCCATTCTGTTCGTATTCTTCACCTTTGGCAGGAAATTTAAAAATTCATATAAATGTGCATACCAAAGAAAGACAGTACTCATGTGGAGTGTGTTTAAAATCCTTTAATAATAATAGCAATCTGATAAGGCATAACAGGATACATACTGGAGAGAAACCTTATACATGTGATATCTGCAATAAAAGATTTAACCAGTCAACTAGTTTGCGTAGTCACAAATTGAGTCACCATAACAAAAATGTATTGATTTCCTGTTGAGTATTTTCGTACTAATATAGTCAAATCTCAATCTATTGTTCCTGCATCTCTCATTTTCCTGTATGTATCGTCTTGTTTTAACAGTCTCATCATAAATGCTATTTTTATTATGTTAATAATACTTGTCTAGATTGTTTTGAAAAATAAGGAATTCCCGCACCTTTCGTTCAAAAATTTTACCGACATTTAAAAACATCGAAATTTTTCTTTGTTTTGCGTTGAAAAATTTTAACTCCTGATACCAATGATAAAAAGGAAACAAGGATTTGTTACAGTTTGGTTAAAACAACAGCACATTTGATGTTGACGTATCAGTTGATGAAAATATTGAAACTTGTGGTGTTGTAAGTTCAGAAATGGTGGCAAAAGGCGAAAAGTACAACAGATGGCGAAGTGGAATCGCAACCAGTGTCAACATTTGCTGAAGGTTAAGAAACAATGAGCAACAATCAGTATTCATGAGAGCTTGCAGAAAATGAACAACAATCTTTTACAAATGTCAAAAATCTGTTATTTGCGCCTAGAGTATTCTTACCAAAATCTTCAAATACTTTAAGTAAATAAATGTGTTCATTTGTTTGCATTGTAAGTATTTTTGCAATATAGTCATCAATTGAAATTTTTTAATACTTATAGTAAACATATTAATTTTTCAAGTCTCCTACCTCTTGTTTTTCTACATTTTCAATTCATTAATTATTATTTAATTTGGACCCGCATTTATCATTTTCCTGTATTTATTGTTTATAGAAAATGTAAATATTAAAGAAGATTCCCCTCAGTAATGATCGATCAAGGTTCTACTGAATTATGTTTATTTTAATCCTAAAAACAAAAAAAAGTGTGGTTTTATAATAGCTCATCAACCAAGTCCCATTCTAAGTTGTATTGATGTTTATTATAATAAATTCAAACTGATAAATACTTTATATAATGTTTACTCTATGTTGGGTATTCCATTATGATTGCCCTTAATATATATTTTAAGAATCCTTGTAAAATATAAAATTAAGGAAGCGGGTATTTTAAGGATTGTGACTTGATATTTAACTAAGAAAAATTTTTAATGTTTTTTTCATTTCGCACTAGTCACTCTGTAGATTTTTTTTTATATTGCTTTTCCTCAAATATTAATTTGAATCTCCCGTGTGCATATTTTTTTCACTTCATAATATAGAAGAATATAAAATGAGAGTGGTCATTATTGACCACCTATGTTATAAATTAGTAAAAAGCAAATTGCACTGTTGAAAAAATTAAAATTATGCTCAAATTGTTGCTATTTTATATTGAAACTAATGTTAATAACCAAAGCTACTTTTCAGAGGGTGATTCTACTACAGCAGAATCACCCTCTGAAGCCACTTGCCTCTCTTTGATTAGCATAATTCATATTAACTTGCCACACTATTTGATCAGTTTATCTAGAGTTTGTAAAATTAATAACATTTAATTCAATGTAACATTAGCTCCCAACTGTTATACTCTAAATTAAACCATATTTTTTTGACATAATTTTGTTTCTATTTTCTGAAATGGTTTATCTAAATATAAATCAGGTCCATAAATTTCAAAAACATCCTTGTTAAAATTGAGACACTTTGAACTGGCATTGCCTGGACAGCCCTATGTATAGTACAAATCTTAAAAACCATTTACCTTTTCAAAAGAAAGGCCCCTGATGTCCACAGACAAAACATGATATACCATTTTTTTTTTTTTTTTTTGTATTTTGGCTTCTGCGACCCTCAAAGAGTATGCCCTACTAGAGCACTTTCTTAAGTGTTGATCATGTGCTATACTCTGTTTAGCCGTGTGCTATGCTCTGTTTGATCTAATAGCAAAAGGAAATAAAACCACCTTATACTTGGAATTACCGTTTGATTGATGTCAAAATTCTGAATAGCAACCCAATCTGATTAATGGTCAATTCAGAAAGAATCGCTGACTCGGTGAGGGACCAGTATAAATAGATAAAGTTTGCAATAAATAGCAAACTTTTATTTTCATTATCGATATCAGTTCTCGCTGAATGGAGTATGAAGGAGCATTCCTGTGTTCTTGATTATAAAATATTTGAATATAATTTTGCACAACTTGTAAAAATTTGCTTGACTTTTTTAATATTTCTTAAATTTTGATGATTTAAATATTTCATTAGCAAGGTATGTGTAGAATTTTTTTTTAATACATTGTAATAATTTTTTACATCAATTTATACGGAAATATTTTTATGTAACAGGCATTTTTCTATTGTAGGAGCTTTAGACCTTTGCCATGATGAAAATGGTTTATATGTGTGTATATTTTGCAAATATTCTACATCCAGGAAAGATCGCATGAGAAGTCACATAAATATGCATACTAAACAGCGTGAATATCCATGTGAAGTATGCCAAAAATCTTTCGGTACAAAAAGTACACTGAATAGGCATTATAGAATACATACTGGAGAGAAGCCTTATAAATGTGACATCTGCTACAAGACATTTAACCAATCATCACACTTGCAGTATCATAAATTGAAGCACTATAAGGATTAGTTAATTTTATCTTGATGAGTATTTGTACTAATAGAATGTTTATTGTAATTAATTTGAACAAAAAGTTCTTTGTATCATGCCAATTAATAAGCAAGGTATTTTATGCAATTAGAAGCCTTTATGTAAATAATGTTAAATACTGTTCAATTTGAAAATTTATTTTAAGTGCATTAATGTTAAAGACATTCTATGCAAATAACTTATGTGATAATTTTCTGAAAAACATAATTTTGATGTTATTGTGGAAAAGTGTAATAGTTAATAACAAAAGGTATGTTATGGCTAATGCAAACGTGTTCTAATTACAACTTGAAACAACTTTTATATAATATTTTGAGTGTGATTTTTGAATTTCTCTGTTAATACAGAAACTAGATTTTAAAAAAAAAGAAGAAGAAAAATTACATTTCAAAACTTGTGTTTTGTCAAATTCCACAAAAGATGAGTTTATCCAATTTTTTTAAAAAACTTCAAAATGTTTTCCTTTTTTTCTATCAAGAGTACCAACTCTAAAGAAAATTCAAGACAACTTATGTTTTGATCAATGGACATGGTCTAGCAATATTTATCAGAATTTTTCAGAAATCTACAGCTCACTTTTTGTGAGTTGTAAATCCGAAAAAATATATTATGTTACGTCCCGCGTAATATGAATGGCTTGGATTATTTTTTCTAAAAAAAGCACATTTATTTTTCATTTTATTGGTTTCTTTTTTACAACAGGCAAAACAAAAATAACAGCTAACCTCATGTATATTTTTACAACACCAACTTTTTCTTGGAGCCATTTATATTTTTACTTATTTTTCACTTCATCTTAATAACATTTTTCCCTATAAGTTTAATTTTTTAAGGAAAATAATAATTTAGCTTTTGCCCAGCATTTCAAAATGTCTGAAAAATTTATAAGCTCAAGCAGAGTTTTAACATTACAAATTTTGTGAACGCAATTAGATGTTGAAGTTAGTTAATCCTATTCTTTCATTGTGTTCTGGCATCATTACTTAATCATTTGTAAGAATTATGAAAAATTACAATATTTTCATAAAAAAAGTATTAATCTCTTTTATCTTAACAGATAAAAAAAATTTGTGCATTTTTTTTTTAAAAAAATGCAAATTTTATTCATTTTTTGAAAATTTTTATTTGAAAAAAAGTTGGAATTAAATTTTGAATGGAGGATGGAATTCAGTCCACTGATTTTTTTCTCAAAACTGAAGAGTGGTACTTATGCTGTCTGTAAATTTAAATCAAAAATACTTAAATGTGAATTCTAAGAATATGTATCAAATTTTACAGACTTTTAAAGATATTCTAAGAATAATTTCTGTTTTTTTTTTTTTTTTCCTGTTATATTGTCAGTGTTTGTAAATAAATACTTTTGTATGTCTACTCCGATTGGCTGATTTTGTCGTAACTTATTACGTTAAATTTGATGCAGTAATTTGTATGCGTACTTTGTTTGATATTTTTATATTATTTATGTAAATAGTTTTTCAAAAATCTAAACAGTGAATTTAGTGAATAAAAAATTGAATGACATTTTAACTGTGTGGATTTAAATTTAAGGCATTTTTTCAATGAATAAATAGCTTCTTATTTTTTTAGATCATTTTAAAAAAAATTTGTAGTCTCATGATTTCACAAATTTGGGATTTTTTTTAACTGCCTGCTATTTTTTTAGAATGCACATTTTTGACAAAAAGAAAAATCCTTCATAAATAATTCATTAAACTTGATAGTATAACTAATTTTTTAAGATTGCTTGTTCTGGAATCTGCTATAAATTCCATATGCATAAATGATTTCACTGGGGGAAAAGTTGACTGCTTCTATTTAAAAAAGAAAATTGTTTTATGATTGGGTTGTTGTACACGTTGCAAAGAAAATTGATTGAATACATATAAAGTAATAGTATTTTATACATTATGAATAAGTGTAAAGTACCTTAATAGTATTTCTATTTTTTCTCAAATTTAGAATTTTTATATTCTATTATTTTATAATTTAAGAATTTTTCTATTTTATTTACTGATAGAAGAATTTATAGCAAAAACTTTAAAACATAGCAATTAGAGTAATATGTGGTGATACATAAAACTGGTTTTCTCATGTGAAGATTTTTGAGGGTAAATTAAATTTATGAAATTAATTATATTACATGAAGAGAGTTTTTTTATATCATTATAAAAGTTGTTTTAGGGTATAACATTTATTATTATACATTTTATTTTTGCCCAACAGCTCAGCTTACAGCCTTTTAAAGAGCATTTTTATTATTTTTGTTTCCATTATACTCACAAGATGCTACCTGTTTGGTAACTCTTTTTAAGACTTAAACTTCCAATAATGTTTCATATTGTCGTAACATTTCTTTGTATTAATTTGTAGGTTAATTTCACAGAGGTGGCTATTATTACGACTTATCTGTAATTTTTACGATTTTGTTCTCCAAATTTCAGTGTTACTCTGTAGTAATAACAATTATGGTTTTTGCGAATTTTGATGATAATCTGTAAAAACACTTTCTTTTCCCTAATTACCAAGAGTTATGAAATTTTTGCTGTTTGCAGTAAACATTCAGAAAAAAACTGTAACACTTAAGAGTGTTACTTTTTCTTATCCTTAATCATTACGATTTTGTTATTAAAATTATAGTGTAGTAATAAAAATTATGGTTTTTGAAAATTTTTGTGATAATCCGATGAAAAACAAGTTTTTCTTTTTCCTAACTACTGAGAGTTAAAAAATTTTGTTTACAGCAAATATTTGAAGAAAAAAATAATACTTAAGTATTACTTTTTCTTATCAATAATCATTACAATTTTGTTGTCAAAATTACAGTGTAGTAAAAAAAAAAACAATTTTTGAGAATTTCCGTGTTACCTGTTAAAAACAACTTTTTCTTTTCCTTAACAGCCCAGAGTTATGAGAATTTGTTATTTGCCGCAAATATTCGATGAAAAAATAGCACTTTATTTATTGGTATATATCAATATAGAATTAAGTTTTAAAAACAAGTAGTAATTGTGGATGTTTGAATTCCATTAATATTATATATATAATTGCACTTCTGAATACTGATAGCAAGTTTGGAACGTTGGCACTTCAGATTTCAAGTACTGATAAAGTAAATTAAAATGGTATTATAATAAAAAATTTATTTTGTAGGAACTTCTGTCATTTGCTGTAATGAACAAGGCTTATACGTCTGCACATTCTGTTCTTATTCTACTTCTAAGAAAGTTCACCTGAAATCTCACTTGAATGTGCATACTAGAGAACGTCAGTTCATATGTGGAATATGCCATAAGTCGTTCAACCAAAAAGGTCATTTGAAACAGCATTACAGAATACATACTGGAGAGAAACCTTATAAATGCGATATCTGCAATAAAGCATTTCGTCAGTCATCCCACATGCAGTCTCATAAGTTAAGCCACCTTAAAGAACAATTATTCTTTTCTTGATTAGTTTTTGTGTAAGTGTGATGTCTGCAAAAATGAATTTCCTCCTCAAATATTCCACATGCTAAATTGTGCCACATAAAAAACAATTGCTAATTTATTGATTGACATTTGTACTAAGATATCTGCAATCTGATATCTACGCAGATATCTGCAATAAAGCATTTCGTCAATCATCCCACATGCAGTCTCATAAATTAAGCCACCTTAAAGAACAATTATTCTTTCTTAATTAGTTTTTGTGTAAGTGTGATGTCTGAGTAAGTGCCTCAAATATTCCACATGCTAAATTGTGTCACGTAAAAGGCAATTGCTAATTTATTGATTGACATTTGTACTAAGATATCTGCAATCTGATATCTATGCAGATTCTGCAAAAAAGCATTTCGTCAATTATCCCACATGCAGTCTCATAAGTTAAGCCACCTTAAAGAACAATTATTCTTTTCTCAATTAGTTTTTGTGTAATGTGGTGTCTGCAAAAATGAATTTCCTCAAATATTCCACATGCTAAATTGTAAACAAAATTGTAAACTAAATTTAAAACAATTGTCGATTTATTGATTGACATTTGTACTAATTGTTTATTATAATAAATTTGTACAAAAAAAAAGACTTAATATCATATTTTCTATTTATCCTAAAACGTGTATTTTTCAATGAAAGGGTTTATTATAAATTACATTGTATTGTTGCACTGTTAAATTATTGTCGTGCCTACAAATTGGACATGTATAATAGTACTGGACGTGCCTACAAATTTTACTGTTTTATTTGGAAATTTATTTTAACAATAGTGTAATAAGCAAAGTTTTTTTTTTAAAAAAGAAAATATTAAGTAACATTTCTTCTCTATAGCTTCAGTTATGTGTTCTGCTTTTTTAACTATATATTTATTTTTATATTTCATATAGCATTTACCAAAATATTAAATGCTAAGACTACATTTGAGGTACAGATTTTTTATTTTTTGGATTGTTGAAACATTTTATCAACTTTGGTCGACCTGACATCATTTCATATTTATCAAAACTTCTTGCTTTCATATTTAACAATTTCATTTCATATTTATAAAAACTTCTTTTAGCCTATGCAGACAATTTAATATTTTTAATTGTATGGGGTTAAATTTGATATACTATTAATAATAATTATTATTGTTAGAAAATTAAAATTTGCCTATTTATATGATTTAAGTAAAGGACGGATTAGGAGGAAAAAAATATATGTATTTCGTAAGTAGCTGTTCAATAAAAATGATGTGTCATAGTTTTTTAACTATAAGGTACATGGATCAGTTATCAGGTAATAGTTTTTTGGTTTCTTAATGTTTAAGATAAAAATATTCCTTGATTCATTTTTTACATATTTGTAAATTGCAATCTATAATGCATGTTCTTCTATTCATTTCACTTCATATATGTTGTAAGAAGCAGTTCACATGTTATTGCTTAATATCAGTTCAACTCATTGATTAGTTTTAAGCAAGTAAATTGATAAAATACTGTTATCCAAAGTATGTAGTTTGTAATTTTAAAGAATGCAACATTTCAAAATGTTTAATGTTGTTATTTATCTTGTATTAATGGTGTTAAATCATAGATATTTTGCAATTAAAGTAACTTTAAAATATTTTTATTGCATTAATGAAAAATTTTGCGTTACAGGAACCTTTGAAGTTTGCCGAAATGAACAAGGTATATATAATTGCATATTTTGTACCTATTCTACAACAAAGAAAACCCACATAAAAACTCATCTAAATGGGCACACCAAAGAACTGCAGTACAGATGTAAAGTGTGCCAAAAATCTTTCAACCAAAAAGGGCACTTGAATCAACATTACAGAATACATACCGGAGAGAAACCCTACAAATGTAACATCTGCAACAAGGGATTTAACCAGTCGTCCAATTTACGTTCTCATCAACTATGTCACATTAAAAATTTGTATTAATACTTTGATGACTGCTGGTTTGCTGTTTTTTATAATAATTCGTAACAAAACATAATCTGCACTATTACAAGTTATTATTATTAAAAAATTTTCTTTTTTTTTAAAATTTATCTTAACATTGATAGTGTAATAAGTAAGCCGCATTTTTTTTATAATTTTAAGATATCTTTTTCCTCTATAGCTTCAGTTATGTGTTGTGTTTCTGTTTATATTTCATACAGCATTATTCAAAATATTAAGACAATATTTGAAGTGCAATTTTTTTTTATTAGATTTGTTAAATCACAGTTTCTTAACTTCGTCTAACCTGTCATTAATTCATATTTGTCAAAAACATTTAACTTCTTGTTAAATTATTTTTTGCCTATGCAGACAATTTAATTCTTTTAACTGTTAGTTGTTAAATTTGATTTAACCAGTCATTCAATTTGCGTTCTCATCAGCTATGTTACATTAAAAATTTGTATTAATGCTTTGATAAGCACAACTGGTGTGTTGTTGTTTTTTTTATCATAAGTCATAACAATAAAAATTCTACATTATATTTACTTAATATTTAAATTATATTATTATGCAGTTGAAATTATTAAACATAATTTTTTTTTCTTATANAAGGGAAAAAAGTTTGAGTAATTTTATAATCATTATCAAGTTATATTTAATTATAATTTATTTAAAGATTTATTGATGAATATTATCAGAATTTGTATATAAATCTTTCTATCATGTTAATTTCCCCCTATCTGTTTGGATTTACGCTTGATTGGATATGCAAACAATTCCATAAGATGTTAATTTTCACACAATTATTGTATTTTAAATTTGGATTGTACAATTTTATTATATTCAAAATAAATAAGCTATACATAGTTTGTTTTCCTTAATAGAAATTTGAACTTTTGCATAAGTTTCAATTATTTAAAGTGTACCTGTAAATAAGAAATTTATCGAAATTTTTCATTTTTGGAATTTTCATATATATTCATTAACTGTAAACTATTATTTATATAGAGTGATGTTCTATTATTTATTTCTTTAAAACTTAAATAAGAGAGACATCGGGATTTAAAAATATTCTGAGTGCCATTTATTTCAATCTTAAACTTAAATATATCAATAAAAGAAACAGATATATATATATGGAATTCAGATATTTTATGGGATCATTTCATAAATTTTAATCTTTAACACTTTGATGCAGAATTTTCATTAAACATGTTTTCATACTTTTTTTATTATTTTGTGTTAATTTATTCCAAAATAAGAGGAAAATATTGTATTCAGCTCTTTTATAATTTATGGTTATGAAATGCAGCCTGAAACACCATTGTCTTTCTCTGTGTTAACTGTAAAATCTTCCAAACGCGGCTCACATCCTACTAATTTTTAAATTTACACTTATTTGCAGTTATTTAGATATATATAATTAAAAAAACAGTTATTCATCATTGAAATTTCTTTAATTTACAAAATCAATTATCGATAAATTTTTGAATATGAAAGGCTACTTTTTTTGGATTTTTTATTTAATGCAAATATACTTCCCTTTTTTAGTAACTTTTAGACTATTTTATAATTAAAGATATCAAAAAATATTTTTGCTTGTAATTTGAGCAACAGAAAAAATATATAGAAAAAAGACACCGGTTTCCGACTGTGTCAAAGGGTTAAAATAGTGTAACTACTTGTAGACTAAGGTGTAACCTAAAATGTTCCTGCATCATAGTGAATGACTGTTTTGTAGAACATATAATTTTAAATGACCTCATGTGGCTTGTTGACTGATAATTTTTATTCAAAAAAAAAAGGATAGATTTTTATTTGAAAGAACTTATTGTTCTTAAGTTTTTCTTAAGTGTTTAAATTTTTTTTTTTATCAGTGGTGGATTTTTTTCTAGTTTATTTTATTTAGTTGCCACTCGTGCAGAAGTAGTTTCCTTGAATTAGAAGTCCACTAACAGGCTCTATCCTCCAAGAATAACTAAAAACTCTTTTTTTTTTTNCGACTTACTTTTTTTTTTTTTTTTTTTACATTTTCTTCTGTACATTTCTTGCACTAATTTATACTTTTCATAGTAAGTTTCTAGATGTATTTTATGTATTAACTTACTAAATGTGTTTCATGTATTAACTTAGACTATATGCATTAACTTACAATACTCTTTGTCAATAGAATCTATGTTATTTCCCAACTCTAAATTTTCCCCTCTCTGTTACCATGGTTTTGATATATATCTTGCTTTTTCTCACTCCAGTTTGTTCCAACTTCTTACTAAAACAAACTGTCGTAGGGAGAAAGCAAGATTTTCTGAAACCATTGAAACAAAGAGGGGGGAAATGTGGAGTGTGGGAAAATTGTGTTAAAAGAGTATAAATACATTTCATGTATTAATTTAGGGGATAACTTTGTTATAACACTTAATTGTTATTGTGATTTAAAATATTCTTTGTTTATAATTTTTTTTCTGTTGCAGGAGCTTATGATATTTGTCAAAATGAACTAGGCTTATATGATTGTACATTCTGTACATATTCTACACCTTTCAAAGGAAGTTTAAAAACTCATATAAATATTCATACCAAAGAGCAACTGTACACTTGTGTAGTGTGTCAAAAGTCATTCACTGATAAAAGTAATTTAAAACAACACATCAGAATACATACTGGAGAGAAACCATTTAAATGTGATATTTGTGACAGAACATTTAGACGATCAACCCACTTACGGTCACATAAATGCATTTGTCATATGTATTAAATTTTTTCCCTCTTGTGCATTACTATGTTGTTTTTGTTATAGCAAATATATGAAATAAAAAATTTTAATATCTAATAAGTCGAAGACTAATTTAAATTAAAATTTATGTAACACCGAATTGTTGTTACAAATGCTACATCATGGTTATTATATGAAGTAAAAGATTTTCATATCTAATAAGTGGATGAATAATTTAAATAAAAATTTATGCAACACCGAATTCTTGTTACAAATGCAATATGAATGAAATTTTTCTGAAGAAAAAAAATTGCATTAAAGTGAAAATTTTATTTATTACATTATACATATTGTAGAATCATATTTCTTAAAGAAGATTGTAGAATCGCATTATAAGTACATTAAAGTCATTGGTTGTTCTCTTTTATGCACACTCTGCTGTCATAATAAACTAAGTATTATTTTATTCTGCTTGATGAAACGGTAAACCAAGATACTGTACTATAAATATGCTTCAAAGGAAGTAACTTAAGAGATTGCAGGCTCTGTGTAATCAGGTAAATTTTATTATAAAATAAAATTCTTAGTGAGGCAGCCCTAAAATGACTGCAATATATGCATTCCTAATATATACGTGAAACTATGTAGACTTACATACTTAAATAATTAAACTTCTGATATGCAATAAACTTAACATGCAAGTTTTTAAGTAGTCTATTATTAAAATAATGAACTTATTTCCAGAAAATGTAATTTTGTATACATTTAATTAAAATATGTTAATATATTATTTTCTGTTATATTTATTTTTAAAAGGGAAAAAAGTTTGAGTAATTCTGTTTTTAAATATAAAATTTTTTAATGCTTAACCTCCCCCTTGAATGATAAACATAGTATTCTTTAAGCACCAATTATTTTGAATGTATGGTTTTTTATTCGTAGTTGAACATATAGCGATTCAATCACCAAAAAACCTTAAAATTTGAAAATTAGTAATCTCTATTACAGATATTAATTTTGTCTACAAAAGTTTTGGTACCAGCATAATATGCATTCTAATTTTTTATAGCACCATACCTGCCAAGTCTCCTGTTTTCTAACGAAGACTCCTGCAATTTACGACTATCTCCTGTTTACCTGCATATTCTCAAATTTTTCTGTGTTTGTTGAAGAAATTTTAAAAAAAAACAAAAATTGGGATAAAATATCCATTAATGGCAAAAATTACTTCTCTTATTCCTCACCAGATGGTGCTATTGCCAGTATTGCAGTATGTTGAGTGTTAATTAGTCTAGCCAAGATGGCTCAGAAGATTGAGCATTCGGCTTCCAGTGAGGTGAACCCAAGTTTGAATCTTAACGATGACTGGTCGATATGAATTTTGCATCCAGCTTGTATCGACTACAGTGATGACGTGAAATATGGGTAGACTGATTACGGGTTTAAGTCCCCTTGTTGTCAGGCTAACCGTTGGAGGTTTTAGTGGTCTCCCTCTCCATGTAACTCAAATGCCGGCTGTTCACATCATAAATTTCTACTCAAAGACGATTTTCTCCTGATACTTGATCCAGGAGTTTCCTTGTCTTCTGGATTGGGTTAAAAATGACAAGGCTACCGAGTTGAACATCAGTAGACATAAACCAAAAATTGGGTCGATTAATAAAATCTCCGTTATTTTATTTCTCCAATGTTGGCAGGTATGTAGAACTCAACTATTTTCTGTTTTTTTCAATTTCTTATGCATAATATTTCAGTAAATCGTCAGGTCATAGAATAATTTTAACTTAAGTAGGCAAATTTTTCCAATAACTCAACAACCTGAGTGATATTTCCTAATTTTGTTTCTTGTATTTAACTCACTTTAAACTTTGTTTTATTTTATTAGTTTCAGTGCATAATATACTAGTTAGAAATGTCCTAGATTGTTAATGTTTTGTCACAATATTGGAGTTGCATAAATCATGTCCATGTCTTATCTGAACTGTTAAAACTTTATTGCAGCTATGTAAAATAATTTATGTTAATTTTTTTTTCTTTCCTTAGGGTTCCTTAATAAATTCCAAAAAAGAGGTCTACATTCTTGTACATTCTGTACATATTCTACACCTTTCAAAGGAAGTTTAAAAAAGCATATAAATACGCACACCAAAGAACGACTGTTTGCCTGTGAAGTATGCCAAAAATCTTTTACAGATATTAGTAATTTGAAACAGCACTTTCGAATACATACTGGAGAAAAACCTTATAAATGTGACATCTGCAACAAAGCCTTTAATCAGTCGTCCACCCTGCGTTCTCATAAGTTAATTCATCTTAAGAAAAATCAATTCATGCTTTAAAAAGGATTTCCAATCTTTCCTACATGAAATGTGTTTGAAATGAAGAGTTAATCTTTACTCTTTATTTTATACATATTATAATATCCTAAAAATATTATTGTTATATTTGTGCTCAACTTATACATTTATTTTCAATCAATTATAAGTGATTGTTTTATTTTCCTTCAACTTATTTTGAGTGATTGTTATATTCATGTTCTTAGATGCTTTAAATAAGGCATTTGCTTAATTTAATTTCAATTCAGCGTTAATTAAGAGATATTGTATTAGAAACAATACGTTTTTGTATTTATTTTACTATGTGTAAATAAACTATAATCTTTGAAAAGGTGAATTAACTGATGCATTATTTATTCAATTAAGAGGACATCATACAATTGGAGAAGCTTTTCTTTGCAAATTCTCTTTCACCTTCATTACTAATTTATAAGAAAGAGAAGATGAGTTCAGGCAAACTTAGAGTAAGTCTGCAAAAAGGCATTTAGTCAGTCATCCAACTTGCGCCGTCATAAGATCGTAGTCCATGGATGAGCCTGAAAAGCTTATTTGTGGTCTTGACCAAAATGCTTTTCCATTTACTTAACGAACCATTTACTTTACTTTCCATTTACATAACAGAATGCAAAATCCATTTACTTTATCTTGCATGCTTTCATTATAAAAAAAAATATTATTGAAATGGCATAATAAGATAATTGCTATACATCAATGAAAAGTAAAATACGAATGGATTGTAACAGGACATTTAATTATCAACCCATTTATCTTCTCATGCCTTTTTAGCTCAATTTTCATGTCTTGCTATGGAATACTCATTTAATGTAACTTATACAAAATAGCTGTAAAGAAACCAACCCTTGATTGGAATAATTTCATTTTTAATAAACTACATTTTATATTATTCTATATTACATGTTATTGATATGTATTTAAAGAAATAACCTTATGCTCTTTTTTATGATTGCAGAAGTCTATTTAAAATAATATTATGCTTTAGAGTATTGATTTTTAAAAAAAAGAATTACAGATTCTGATTTAACATTAACTATTGAACAATCTGAAATAGAAATTTTAAATTACTGTAGGGAAAAAAACTTTCTATGTTGGTAGAATTGAGTTTATATATTGAAAATGTATGACTAATAGAATCTAAAAAGTAAAAAAGAATTTTCAATAATGTTAATTAATGACAAAATTATGTCACATAGAAATTTTATTGGTTGTTTAATGTTCGAAACAGTGACTTTTTATTTGCTACCGTCTTAGAAACTATCAATTGTTCTGGTGTTATGCATTGTATCGGGAAAATGTTTGCATCTAAAATTGCAATGAATTCATAGAAAATACTAAACTTTTTTTATTAATACTTATATCTTTTATTGTATTGATTCCTTATAATTAAATAATTGTTATATATATGACATTCCATTCCCTCATAAGATATTATTGTATAAAGATATGAAATTTTATCACATTAAATTGAAGGTGCTGTTAAAAATAGCTTTAGGAAACCAACCGTTTTTATTTCAAGGACTTATCTTCTACTCTTTTCTCAGAAAATAAATTTCTATTGTGCAGTTTTTTATCTTTTTAAAAAAATACTAAATGAAATACTTTTTTATAGTATTATTTTTAGTATTTTTCTTATTTTCAGATTGCTTGTAAAGACCAAATGTGTGATAGATTTTTCTAATAAAACTAACATATGTCTTATTTAATAAAAAGTTTAAAGAAATATTGCCAGTAAATGACAGCTAATCATAAATATGTTCATTATGATCTGTTTAGAAGTGATTAAATATTTATTACATTCTGTAAGACATAACTTAAAAGAGATTATATCAATACAAATTCAAAATGCAGTTTAGGTAGACTGAGTCGCAAAAATCCTTCACCTATAAGAATAATCTGTTATTTTATGAAAGTTATTTTATTGTAATAAAATAATTTTGTGTTATAGGAACCTCTAACTTTTCCCAAAATGAACAAGGCTTATATGTTTGTACATTCTGCACATATTCTACACCTGTAAGAAGAAACTTTAGAAATCACATTAATGTGCATACTAAAGAACGCTTGTATACGTGTGGAGTATGCCAAAAATCTTTCACTGATAATAGTAATTTGAAACAGCACTTCAGAATACACACCGGAGAGAAACCTTATAAATGTGAAGTCTGCAACAAGGCATTTAATCAGTCATCCAACTTGCGCATTCATAAGATGGTGGTCCATAGATGAGCCTGAAAAGCCTCTTCCTGGTCTTTGCCGACCTGTTGTAAATAATTTATTTATTTTCTTTATCTTGCATGCTTTCATTATGAAAAAACAATAATCCGAGTGGCATGATTCTAAGATAATTGTTATGTGTCAATAAAAAGTAAAATACAAACTGATTGTAACAGGACATTTAATTATCAACCTATTTATCTTTTCATGTCTTTTTAGCTCAATTTTCATGTCTTGATATGGAATACTCATTTAATGTAACTTATACAAAATAGCTGTAAAGAAACCATCCCTTGAATGGAATAATTTAATTTTTTTTTATAAACTAGATTTTATATTATTGTATTTTACATGTTATATATATGTATTTAAAGAAATATCCTTATGCTTTTTTCTATGATTGCAGAGGTTTATTTAGAAATAAATTAAGCTATAGAGTATTGATTTGTTTAAAAAAAATGCAGCTTTTTATTTTACATTAACCATTGAATAATCTGAAAAAGAAATTTTAAATTACTATTGAAAAAAACTTTCACTGTTGGTAGAATATGGTTTATATAATGAAAATGTATGACTAATAGAATCTAAAAAGTAAAAAAGAATTTTCAATAACGTCAATTGATGACAAAATTACGTCATGTTACACAAGGTGTTTGAAATAACATGTGGTAACAAAAATGCCCCCCGAAACTGTTATTTTTTTCTATATTTACATATAAAAATCTTTTTTTGTGTTTCTTTTAAAAAATGAATAGTCAATTGTTACAAATTCCAATTGCTACCGCTTCAGCACAATGGCTATTGTTCTGTTGTCTTGAAGGATATCAGAAAAATTTTAGTGTGTAAGTAATTCATAGAAAATGCTGATTCTATATTTTTTACAGTGATTTCTTTTTTGGTTTAATATTTGAAATTATGCCTTTTTATTTGCTACCTTCTTAGTAACAATTATTATTGTTCTAGTGTTATGCATTGTACCGGATAAATTTTTGCATCTAAAATTGCAATGAATTTATAAATAATACTAAACGTTTTTCTTATGAATACTTATATATTTTTTTTATTAATTTCTGATGAACAGAAAATGTTTGAGTAATTGGATTTTACTTTTAGAAAAACTAAAAATATGAGCAAAATACAGTCAGCTTCTTTATTGTGAGTTATGAGATATCTACTATAATAAAGAAATTTTTATTAAGTGGTTTGATGTTTATAAACTGTCAATAGTAAGAGCAGTGATTCCGCTTACATGCTATAGCGGGTCAAATGCGCCAAAAATCATGGAAATGATGCATAAAATAATTTATTACGCATCCCCTAGGATGTGTAATTCCCTAACACAGAATAAAAAGTATGCTAGCCGACTTCAAAAACCAAGATTTAAATATATATTTAAATATTTCTTTTACACTGTTATTAATAGCTAAAGGAGAAAATTAAAATAATTCTGAGTATCAAATTACATGGTTATTTTTCCCAAATGTAGATGTTTGATCAGTCCTGTTTGAAAGCCTTCATAATTCAAATATATCTCTTCATGATTTGATATTTTTAATATTTTTTTGTTGCTTATCAATAGATAAAATAATATTATAAATATGAATTGTACTGTGTGCCAAAACAAGGACCACCCTGAATAACTTTTGATCGAATGATCAGATCTTCACGCTCTAAGACCCATTCTTAATGGTTCGAGGGGGTGCCTCAAATAGGCTAATTAATTAGTGCAGGCGATATTTTAAGTTTTGAAATCAGACACAAAAATGTACTTTCTCTGGACAAACATACCTTTTCAACTGATTCAGATTTTTGGCTGCTAAAATGTAGGGGGTAGCCTCTAATCTCAGAAATATGGTCCCCATAATTTGGTCAGGAAAGCGAAATTTGAACCCCTTTATGTTAATTTTAATTTTTTACGTATTTTGCCATATCTCCAGAACTTTTGAAGCGAATTGAAAAAATTTTGCACACAATTATTAATTTGTTTGTCCGAAGACAATTCCATGCAACAAAAAAAAAATTGTAAATATTTATTCTTTATTATTTTATTTAATAAAATTCAGAAAAAAAATTTTGATTTTTAAGGTCTACTGTTGTTTATAGCATTTTAAAGTATCTAATTTTACGTGGCAAAATGCAAAATTTTATCAAAATCAGTTGACTAGTTCCTGAAAAATTAGATTTTAAGTATACGGCTTTTCTAGAATTCAATTTCTCAGGAACTATTCAACCAATTTTGCTCAAATTTTGCATTTTGCCATGCAAAATTAGATACTCTAGAATGATGTAAAAAATTTTTAACCTTTTCAAAAATTTTTCGACTATTATAAATTAAAATAAGAGAAAATAATAAACATTCATTGAAATTATTTTTTCGCATCTTTAGACAAACAAATTTTATAGTTGTGTTCAAATATTTTTCAGTTTGTTCCAAAAGTTCTGGCGAAATAAGCAAAAAGTAAAATTAAGATTAGGAGCCTGAACTTTGGACTGCTATCTTGGCCAAATTGTTGGGAATTTATTTCCCAGATTGCAGCTACTCTCTACATTTTGGAGGTACAGTATCATAATCCATCGAAAAAAAGGTATGTTTATTCAGAGAAAATATGTTTCTCTGTCTGTTTTCGTAAGTTAAAATATTGTTTGCATTAATTAATTCGAAGTCACTCACTTGAGCCATGAAGATTGAGTCATAGAACGTGAAAATATAATCATAAGATCCAAAGTTATTCTTGGTGGTAAATTTTTATTTTATTTGACGCTCTGTACATGTGGATCCACCCCCAACTTTCACTGCTTTTTACTACTCAAAAAGTCAATATATCAAAACATAGATACATAATTGTCCTCATATATAAATGAGATCACTTATTTTTATATGTTATTGATTTGTTTTGAGTTAAAAGATTAACTAAAAATAATTCACTAACATATAAAAATTAATGATGCAAAGTTATTTTTCCAAATTATTGTACTTCTAGGGAGCTGTCGATAATTGTTACATATATTTCGATATTTTTGCTCCATTTTTCTTTACCACAAAGCTTTAAACTTCATCATAACTCTGCTCCTCTTATTACTTGTACTCAGTATTGCATAAACATAGATCTAAAAGAGAAAACAAAACGCTTTATTATGAATCATATTTCAAATTTTATTTTTAATTGTGTGTTTACATTCAGAGCATACTAATAAACAATAATTATGTGCACTTGTTTTGTTTGAAATAAGTTTTAGAATTGCAGGAAAGGCATATTTTACTTACAACTGTAATATAAAAAAATTTAATCTGCTGATTTTAAATGTTTTTTTTTAGCCGAAATGTAGAATGTCACATTTTTTACTACTTCTACCCTTTGTCACCAATTCTCAACCTATTTTGTTGAACTATGACATCCTTTGTAAATTTGCATAAGAAAATTGCAATTCTTCATTGCACCTTATTCCTATTTTCTATCTGTGGTACACAATTAAAGATAATAAAATTATTTTGTAAGTAAGAACAATATTGGCATAATGAATATAAAATGTATTTAAAATTTTTGCAATCAATGTATAGCTAATTAATAATGGGAAATATTGATGAGTAAAGATATAAAAAAAAACTACATTTCTTATACTCTTAAAAAGATACATCTTTAGAAGATAGGTGTCTTTTTAAGGTGCTGCTGCTCATAGCTGACTACTTTAAATCTCAAAATAGGGCAGAATATAGACACCCACATTTTTGAATTAAAAAAATTTTTTGTAACAGCAATTTCTTGAAAATATAGTTCATATATATGAAGTCACTAAGTGATTGAAAAATTCATATCATTTACTATTACAATGAAAAACTAATTTTTTGAAAATATCAAAAATTTAGAACTTGGTCACTTTGTGGGACTCATGATACACACTTTAGAACTCCTAAATAAAATTTCAGATTAAGTATTCAGATAAAATTTCAGATCAGTATTATTTAAAATAAGAATACTGATTTTTTCACCAAGATATTTTCTTGAATTTGGCCATTTTGGTTTATTCTCTATGTTTTGGTTTGTTGAATAAGATTTTTATATGGCTAAATTTTTTTATTTAGTTAAAATAGCGTACAACAGCAACATCCACTATGACAAATTTGATATCCATCAGGGAGCTCTAACTCATTGCAACATCCACTATGACTAACTTGATATCGATCAGTGAGCCCTGACTCATTGCATATGGCAAACTTGATATCCATCAGTGCACCCTGATTCATTGCATATGGCAAATATGATATCTATCAGTGAACTCTGATTCATTGCAACATTCACTATGGCTAACTTGATTTCCATCATTGAGCTCTAACTCATTACAACAACTATGGCAAACTTGATATCCATCAGCAACCCTTGTCTCATTTCCAGTGTGTTGCTTTTTGTAATAAAATTTTTAAAAATTTAAAAAAAAATGTTTGGCATTCTATTATAATATACAAGAAATTCACAGTCCTATTAAATCAAGTTTATTTTTGAAAAATTGCATTGTGATTCACTTTTATTTGTCAAAGTGAGCCAAGTCATTATTATTTTGATCACCAAGTTTTATACTGTCAGGGGAATAGCTTAATAGTGACATACAGGGTTGCGCCCACTGCAAGATTAGTACCTTATGTAGCATGCCAAAAAGTTGAAACTTGTTTATATGTTATAAAATTACTATTGGGGCACTAGCCACCTCAAAATTAGTTTGCTTGCATTATATTGTGTGGAAAAATGAATTAATTAAAAAAATATATAACATTCCTATACTCTCTTCAGTGAGAACTATTTGTGAAAGTAAATAAAGCTAGTGTGCACTTGGCTGATTTCACCCCAAATTTATGATATGCAACGCTAATCTGACCAATGGTATATAAGAAAAGCACCACCAATTCAGTGAGTAAACAGGCAGAAGTAGGTAATGTTGGCGTTGAGCAACAAACCATTATGTTTACTTACCCTATCAGTTCTGGCTGAAATAGCAATGATAAACCATAAACTTGACCGATGCATACTTTGAAGTAAAAATCTGTTTTTTAAATAATAAACTTTTATTCCCTACGTATGTACTAATGTACATTTTCTGTTATTTTATTTATTTTTAAATAGGAACACTTGGATGAAAGTAAGGAGAAAATGGACGGTTTTGAGTTATTCTATTTTGAAAATATTATTCAGTTTTGTCTGAAATTATTCTTGCATCTTCAAATTATGTAATTTGTTTAATTTAAACTATAAAAAATATTACGTTAGTTTATAATGTACTTAAATTTGTTCTTAATAGTAACAACATTACTTTAAAATTAAGTATTGTAAATTTTGAAGGATTTTCGTACTTCAGGTAAAGGCGCATTCCATGACCTCAGCCTTCCCGAGTAATCTTACTTTGTTTTGGTTTTGCATCAGAATCTGATTATACCAATAAGCAATACATTAATTCCTGAAGAGCAATGTAACTTACTTATGTGTTGTTAGATATTTCCTGTATTTTTTGCCCATTGTCACAAGTAAAATTAAAAGATTATTGTTACAAACTTATAAAGTTATTTGTCTTAATATAAATATCTCTATTTGTTTCACCTCGTAGTTTTAAGTGTTAAAATGTTACTGCAACAATATAAATTAATTTGTTTTAATTCTTTTCCATTTTTTTCTTTTTCATAGGATTACCTGGTAATGTCAAAAAAGGAGGCTTGCTTTTATGTACATACTGTACTTATTCGACACGTGTAAAGAAACACTTAAAAAGTCACATAAATGTGCACACCAAAGAGCGGCTGTATATGTGTGACATGTGTCATAAATCATTCACTCATGAAGGAAATCTGAAACAACATTACAGAATTCATACAGGAGAGAAACCTTATAAATGTTTAATCTGCAACAAGGCATTTAATCAGACGTCCATCTTGCGACGTCATATGATGATCCATAAATGAACTTGATGAATCTTTGTCATTCACATTACAAATGTGTTCTTAAATGTGTCTCCTACCTTCATGCTATGTGTTCATATATTAAATTTTAAAAATAAAAAACATTTATGTAGGCCTTAAATTTTTTCTAGTTTCATAAAAAAAAAAATTTTTCATAATATACCAACATTTGCTGTTAGTCATGTTCCTTGACCCTAGTCTGCCTGTGTGATCTTATGGTTACCTTCTTATGGTTTTGTATCAGATTTGAATTAAAACACTAATTAATTCATTACTCTAAGCATGTAGTGCTATTTGTGTTTAGTGCTGTATAGCCACTTCTGGCTTTTATAGCAATAAATTCAACATTTAATCATTAAGAGCAACGTACATTACTGATCTGTTAATGGGAGTTCCCTAATTTTTAAACCCATCGTCGCAAGTAAAATAAAAGATAATTGTTACAAATTTATAAAATTCTTTGTCTTAAATATCTCCATATGTTACACATTGTAGTCTAATATGTAATTTAAGATGTAGCAATAAAAAGAAATTTATTTTAATTGTTTTCAAATTTTCTTTTCATAGGATTCCCTGATAGTTTCACGAAAGGTTGTTTGCTTTTTTGTCCATACTGTACATATTCGACACATCTAAAAAGAAACTTAAGAACTCATATGAATTTGCATACTAGAGAAAAATTATACACATGTGAAACATGCAAAAAGTCTTTCAACCAAAGCTGTCACCTGAGAAGACATTCTAGAATACATACTGGAGAGAGGCCTTACAAATGTTTCATTTGCAACAAGACATTCAATCAGTCTTCTATCTTGCAGCGTCATATTATAATACATAAATGATCGTGATAAAGCATTGTTATTGACATTACAACTATGTCTGATGCCTTCATAATTATATGTTCTCATATTTAGATTTAAAAGTGCAATAAAAGTATATTTATGTTACTCTTTTATGTTTATAGTTTCATACAACTTTTTCGTTTATAACATAGTAACATTTTCTTTTGATCTAAAATTTAGTATTGAGCAATTTACACTTTACAATCAAATATGTACCTTCACTTTACTTATTTCAGATAAAGAAAAGATGAGTATTCTAATGATCTATCTCAGTTCTTAAAACCCTTTCATTTTATTATCTTAAGTATGTAGTGCTATTTGTGTTTATTGCAATATATCTGTTTCTGGCTGTTATACCTCTAACTTCCACAATTGAATACAACTTACTTCTGAAAATTGAAAAGCTGTGTATTTTAGAGATCTGTTATTAAATATTAAAAATTACCTAAATTTTAATTCATTTGCTTAAGGATAATTACAATAAACAAACTAATAAAGCTCTTTATTTAGAATGAACACTATATTCTTATGTTGAACATTGCAGTTAAAATTGTTTGTTTTTTTTATAGCAATATAAAATAACTTTTCCGAATTTTCTTTTATTGATTTTTCTGCCTATTTTGAAAAAAGAGATTTGTTGATTCTGTACATGTTTTACACCTTTGAAATGAAATTTAATGGCAACATGTATGGCTTATGTCAAAAATCATTCCCTCATAAAAGTATTCTGAAATCAAGAATACATACAGGCGAGAAACTTTCTAAATGTAACATCTGCTACAAGTCACCCCTCTTGTGTTGATTAATAATAATTTATAAATGAGCCTGGCAAAATATCTTCATGGGTATACCAATGTGTTTTAAATGGATTTTTTCCATTAATATTAATTTTGCAGGTTTTCATTGTTTAAAAGCATTGAAATTTCCTTATAAATTAAAATAATTGTTATTTATTAAATTCCATTCCCTCATAGGATATTATTGTATAAAGATATGGGATATTATCATATTAAGGTGCTGTTGAAAATGGCTTTGGAAAACCATTAAGTGAAATAATTCCATTTTTACATAACCTGCATTATATAGTATTGGCATGTTAGCCGCCTTATTTTATTTCAAGCATTTATCTCTGTTTTCTCAGAAAATAAATTCTATTGCCCAGTTTTTTTTTTTTTATTATTATTATTAAAAATACTAATTGAAGTACTTTTTTATCGTATCATTTATAGTATTTTTCTCATTTTCTGATTGATTGTAAAAACCAAATGTGTGATTTATATTTATACTTTTTAATACTTATATAAAAGGAAATTTTATAATAAATCTTACATACGTTTTATTTAATAAAAAAGATTAAACGAAATATTGTCAGTCAACGTCAACTAATCATAACTAAGTTCATTATGATCTATTTAGAAATGATTAACTATTTATTACATTTTCTAGGACTTAACTCAAAAGAGATGATATCAATACAAATTCAAAATGTAGTTTACGTAAAGTTAGTCACAAAAATTTTTCACTTATAAGAATAATCTGTTTTTAAGTTATTTTATTGTACTAAAAAAATTTTGTGTTGCAGGAACTTCTAACTTTTTCCCAAATGAACAAGGCTTATATGTTTGTACATTCTGCACATATTCTACACCTGTAAAAAGAAACTTAAGAAATCACATTAATGTGCATACTAAAGAACGCTTGTATACATGTGGAGTATGCCAAAAAACTTTCAACCAAAAATGCAATTTGAAGATGCATTACAGAATACATACAGGAGAAAAACCTTATAAATGTGACATCTGCAACAAAGCATTTAATCAGTCATCCACCCTGCGTTCTCATAAGTTAATTCATCTTAAGAAAAATCAATTCATGCTTTAAAAAGAATCTTTCCGACATAAAATGTGTTTAAAATGCTGAGTTAATATTTACTCTTTATTTTATACATATTATAATATTCTAAAAATGATATTATTGTTTTATTTGTGTTCAAATTATTCATTTATTTTTAATCAATTATGTGTGATTGTTTTATTTACCTTCCACTTATTTTGAGTGATTGTTATATTCATGTTCTTAAATACTTTAAATAAGGCATTTGCTTAATTTAATTTCAATTCAGCTTTAATTAAGAGATATTGTATTAGAAACAATAAATTTTGTATTTCTTTTACTATGTGTAAATAAACTACAATCTTTGAACAGGTGAATTAAATGGTGCATTATTTATTCAATTAGGAGGACACCACACAATTGGAGATCTTTGCAATTTCTCTTTCACCTTCATTACTAATTTAAAAGAAAGAGAAGATGAGTTCAGGCAAACCTAGAGTAAGCCATGAATTTGCTAAAAAAAAGACAGACTTCTAAACATCAAAATGCAAACAAGCTATTGGAAGCGAACTTCACTGCCTAATTCTAAATTATCTTCTCAAAATTTATTTTCATTTCAATATTTAAAAAATTTCTTTTCAGAATTTGAAACTTAAGCTTATCTTAACTTACTTTTTCTATACTTTTTAAATTTGTGTTGGAGGTGAAATAGAATTTGCAATGTAAAGTTTCTCCCGTGGTATGGCATCCTCTTAAGTAGCATGCTCAAAATTGTTTGTTTTGTACGTCACATAAATTACTTGGAATTGGCAGCGTTAAGTTTCTCCCGTGGTATGGCATCCTCTTAAGTAGCATGCTCAATTTTTTTTGTTTTGTATGTCACATAAATAACTTGGAATTGGCCGTCTTTGATGATTATTATGAAATAATTTGATGGATGATAAATCTGAAACGGCTATTAATTTTTCAAATTATGTAAATAACTGTATTAAATGAAATTGTAATTTATAATTAATACTAAACTTGTATATATAATTAATTCATTCATTAAATCATTCATATCAGGGATCTGTTCAGGCCAAATTTACTACCATGTAGCAGAACCTTCAAAAATTCAACTTAAGGAAAAACGGTAGCTTCACAAAATATTTTTTCTTAAAATGTTTTTGTATCCTGTAAGAAAACGATAAATCCTTATTTTTACCGTATGTTTGTGTTGATTCTTTAATATAATTTTTGATTTTCTCAAATTATGTCTTAATTTTCACAAAATAGGTGCCTCTCTGAAAAACCTATACAGACCCCTGTATATGTAATTCATTAAACTCATCATTACATGTAAATTAACAATTTTATTTGGCTATGCTTTAATTAAAGAGCTGAGCAAATGAAGGTTCTTAGTAAGATTTTAATGAATTAAATGAAGAAAAGTAATGAGAAATGAATGATAATTACATTAACTAATAGTTTATTATTAATTAATTATCAAAACTAATTAAAAAATTATAAAAGAATAAGACTAAATGTGAATTGAAGTATGTGAAACTTACAAATTATCGACTTTCATTAGCTTTATGTTTAATATTTTACTATTGAAATATTATATTTTAACTTTACCAANTTTTAATGAATTAAATGAAGAAAAGTAATGAGAAATGAATGATAATTGTATTAACTAATAGTTTATTATTAATTAATTATCAAAACTAATTAAAAAATTATAAAAAAATAAGACTAAATGTGAATTGAAGTATGTGAAACTTACAAATTATCAACTTTCATTAGCTTTATGTTTAATATTTTACTATTGAAATAATATATTTTAACTTTACCAATTAAGTTTTAAGTTTATTTAAATACAAATACTTTTAAAATTTATTGAACATGCACTTTGTGTGTACAAATAATGAAAGACTTTTTTTTTTGTGCCTAAAATCAATTTATTTACTTCTCTTTTTTTAATCAAAATTAATGTATTCTTCATTTGATGTATAACAGCACAAATTCATGAAAGTATTTGAGCTTGAATAAAAAAAATACTATTTTTTATGTGATTAGTTTCTAATAACTATATAATTATTTAAATCATTTTAGTTAGAAATATTAAGTACTTTAGTTATATTATTGTTTTCATTATTATTAATTTATATTGTCAAAGCTTTGATTGTTTAGTGGAAAAATATATATAAAAAATCTTAATTTATCTACTAAGCCCTTTAATTATCTTTAAGTTTAACATTTGTTAAGTTAACACTTCAACAAAATTTTGGTGAAAATAAAAAATCTCATTGTTATACCAATACTACTATGGGTTTCTTAATTATATTCATTTTTTATTGTCATTGCAGAAATCTTTGTTTACCAAAAGGAGAAAGATTTTTATGACTCTACGCCTTTGAAAGAGAGCTCTCAAGTGCGACATTATACTTGTGACATTTGCCAAAAAACGTTTAAATGCAAGAGTAACCTGAATAAACATTACAAAATACACACTGGAGAGAAACCTTATATATGTGACATCTGCAATGATTCGTTCAATCATCCATCCAATCTGCGTCGCCATAAGCTTATTCATTTCAGGGAAACCTTAAGCAAATTCCTATGAGCTTAACTAATGTGTTGCTTTGTATGATAAATTTGAAAATTAGCTTTATACATTACTTCATATTTATATATTTATTTTTAATTTAATGTGTAGTATTTCACATCTTTTTTTTAATCATAAATAATTTAATATTTGTATTAATTAAGATTATTTTTTTATATATATGGCTTTTTTTGTATTGTCTTTTTATTCATCTTTTGGTACTAAAATATAAAATAATAATTTAGTATCATTGTCTAAATATGTATCTCCTCATTTGTAATGGGTACCGTAAATAAATATTATCGGATTTAAGGCCGTTTTACCCAGAACCATAATTCACGGTGTTTAGAAAAATGGAGATGGGTCTGAAATGCAGTTACTGGTGTGACAAAAAGGATTTGCGCACATTACCAATCATTAGCTGGCATTAGTTGTCATGCAAGCAATGATAACAAAACAGCTGTCAGTCCATTCACTCAGTTGTTGACATATGTAATTGAGACATTTCAGGTGTTGTGCACCTTTTGACAGTATATGAGAGATGGTTGTGAAATCAAACAATGAATAGAGAGTACATGTGGAAAGCACTGTATGTCTATTATTAGGACAGTGTTGTTGTTTCTAATGCCACTTGCCACACTAGCATGCCCGCTTGGTGAAACCGAGCAAATTTTAAGGCAGAGGGTGCGTTTCTTGTTTTTCAGTGGCGTCATCTATGGCCAAGAATTCGACTTCTGTCACACCTGTTTATAGGGCGGACCCATTCATTCATTCACAGATCGTAATTTTGACCTGAATAAGAGAACCATCGATCTTCAATCCAGAACCCCCAGAGGTATTGATTTGTTACGGGAACATGGAGGACTTTTTCGACTCGACAGATTTAACATGCATCAGTCACTTTACAACGCGGAGAGTCTTCAGCCGGCGGAGTTTGAACTCTCGGACATGGACCCAGCACTCTACCGACCAGGCTATCCTGGCATTAGGACAGTTCATGAATGGAACAAGCACTTTCAAAAAGAAATGAAGCATTCAGTTATAATTTGTTTACCATTTTTTTTTTTTATGAATGTTGTTGAACAGCCAACCCAATTTTTGAGTTTGCGACTGCCTTTGTAGACTTTTTTGATGGAATTAACCCGCATTTGCATTACATGGAAATGATTACCATGAAAACCTCACATGGTTAGCCTGATGGCAAGGGAACTCTAACCCATGATTTGTCTACCACTGATGATATTATACATCAGCAGTGTAGTCGGTGTGAACCGGGTACGGAATTCTAATTGATCAGCCATTGCTGTGATTCAAACTCGGTTTGCCTCATTGGAAGACAACTGCTCTATCCACTAAGCCACCATGGTTCTATGTCTACCATTGCAATGTGTGACAACTATCGCCACCTTGGAGGTGAAAAGTGCACAATTTTTTTTATACACCATCAACTAAATTTTAGTCATATCTTTTTTCTAAATACCTTGGTTTTCGTTTGTTGGTTTCTGGCTCATTATTTATTAACTGTATCTATAAAAAGCAGGCAAATATTTACAAATCTTCATTGAAATTATGACATCTGATTTAGATGAAGCTTTTTCTTACGTTATTCTGTTATTAAAAAAAATCTTATAAAAATCGTATTATTATTAACTCAAAGGGAAAAAAAGATATTTTAAATTCAAGTTCTTTTCCAAATTATATTGTTAACAAAAAGTGTTACTTGTTACACCTGCCACGTATAAGTTATTTTTAACCAGTTCTTTGCCTATAGGAAAGCTTGGACTTGACCATTATTCTAACATTTTATCTGAAAAAAAATTTAATATCAATTTCAAGGTTGATTTTATACGCTATCTCACTTAAAACTGATTTCCTTCTTTATTGCTATTGTAGTAAACTAATTTTAAAAAAACTTGCATTAATTATCATGGATCAATAAAGCTGTCAAAAAAGTTGAGAATTGATCAAAGTAAAGATAATGCAGAAAGGAACTAAATGAATATGTATTAGATTACAAATATTACATGTTGTATATGTACAAGTTTTGAATAACAAATGTTATTGTAAAATTTAAACTTTTACTGAAATAACTTTATTAATTTAATTTCTACTTAATGATTTTTTTTAAAATGTAGTTGGTTTGTAGCAAGTGTTTTTTTTTAATTATTATTTATACCTTTTATTTCTAAAATATATGCTGCCTAAATTAAAATTTCTTTAAATCAGCAAATTTTGATGTTAATTTTATTTAATTTTCTCTAAACTTTATGTAAAAAATAATTTTTTGACCTCTTTTTTTTTTTTTGAAGAAAATGTAGATTGATACTGTTAGAATGACTCTATTTAACATAGTTCATTTTAAAAAGGTAACTTATTAATAATCATTACTTTGCATTTAACTTATTAATGTTTGTTAAAACCTTGTTTATTGCCACAGCTATTAAAGTTCAAGATAAAGTTGATTAATATGGTTAACACCGTCAGATGTCAGTCATGCCCTGTTAAGAGACAATTTATATTTTATAAATAGTTATAAACATGTAACCCAATCAGTAAATGTAAGATTCTTATTGTTAGTGTTTATAGCATTGTAATTGTGAGCCAAATTTTAAAGACTAACTTTTCAGAAGACTTTTGAAAACAAAGAAACCATATACTGTTTGTCAAATGGCAATTATTCTTCATTGATAATTTTTCTTAATAATATGATATTGATTATATTACATGTTGGGGATTGAAAACTTTACTATTATATGTTGTGCAACTTTTGAAAACATATTTTTGTCTCTTGAAGAAAAATATGAAATTCTGGCATAGATATTTGCAAAGGTTATGAATATATATCCGACTGGCATTATTTACTGTCACTAACCAAATGCAAAAATGTTTTTGATAATCAACTATTTACGTCATTTTGATTGTGAAATGTAGAATTTTCATCATCTAACTGACAAAATTTATTCTTTATTTTTCAGAAAACTTAATAATATTATCATTGTTTGGAAATTTTATCATGTATATTTATGGTTTAACAAAACTTAATAATTTGTAATTTTTTTATCTTGTTATCTATGGTTTAATAAAAAGAATTGTTGTACTATTGAAGTAAGTTTTTGAAGAAAAAAACTTAATAGTTATTTCTATCTAATTTAAATTTAATAAATTATAAGTAGTAGAAATCAAATAGATAGACAGTAAAGCTGTTTTATATTAATGTACTGCATTCAAAATTAACTACTTTCTGCAGAAATCAACGGATTTTTTAAAAGTTGGTGGTTGAATAGAGAAATGTCTTGTATTCATAAGTCAAAAAAAAAAGAGTATCCTGAAATATTCTACTATGTATTAACTAGCTAATCCTCTAAGCGTTAGTCCTTGTTTTTTCCAAGCTTTCAGCTGGTGTCTTTCTCACATCAACAAACCAGTTTCTCATATTAATTTATGGGAAGATAGAAAATAGTAAAGAAATTTCAGTGCAATATTTGACAGGTTGTGAATACTTTAAAGGCTTGTGCAAAATATGTTGAGTAATAATAAATTGATATCCTTAATTACGTATTAATCAATAATTTATAACATACAATCATTTATTTTTTAATGACAACCATTACACATATGCTTTTCATTTTATTCAAAATGAATTTATCCATAACTTTCAATCAGCAGTTAAAGCTTGCTCATATATTTGAAATTTTTTAATTTAACTCAAAAATTAAAAAACTGCTTTTAAATTGACAATGTATAGGGTATCCGCGCACCTGAAAAGTCATGAAAAATCATGGAAGGTCATGAATTTCGCTATTGAACAAAATTTGTCATGAAATGTCATGATTTTAACTATTTTTTTTAAAAAAAAAAAATCATGAAAAGTCCTGGATTTTGATCGCTGAAAAATCTAATTTTTAAAATGGAATTTACCTCCTCCCCCAGTTTCATGTTATTCCGAATATCTGAATTTGTAACAAAATCCCCACTCATAGTCATATTTGATTAAAATATAAAATGTTTTCATTGTGTTCTGTAAAAATTATGGTGTTCTTTTAAAAAATGAAAGAAAAAACATCATTTCTAGAGCGATTTATCTTTTCAACTTCTGTGATTTTAGAATTTTTGTTATTATGTTTTTTTTTTTTTATGAGTTTAAAATTTTAGCTGAAGCAAGCCAGTCGTTGGCAAATTTTTTTATTCCGAAATGATAACAGAAAAATCAGGAGTATTTCTTTCCTTTCCGACGAGCAAGAAAAGTATCCTTAGAATGTAATTCTGCAGAAAAAAAAGAGAGAAAAAATTATTTGCTTTTGTATTTTTTTTTTAACTGTTTTATTGCTTCAACTCTTTCTTTACTCTGTTTTTTAAATTTAAAATCTATAAATATGAAGACGCAGAGTTAAGCAGTTTTGGTTGTACATATCATTTCAGTGAATGTTATTTTAATGCTTTTTTAAATTGATTGTGTTTTTGTCTGAGAAAATAGTAACTTTGTTAAGTCATGAAATATTCTTGAAATTAGTCATGAAAGTCTTGAATTTGAAAATCTAAAATGTAGCCGATATCCAGATTGTACCTTTATTAAAGTATAAATATTTCTTTAATGTTAAATATTGTAATAATATTTCTCCAAAGGGGTGCAATTAATTGACATATGCGTTTGAAAAATTTTTTGTTTGGAACAATTATAAATATGTGCTCATATATTTTTTTGCAGGAATCTCTTGCAATTACCAAAACAAAGAAGAAATGTATTTTTGTACACTCTGTACTTATTCCACGCCTCTGAAGGGAAGCTTAAAAACTCACATAAATATGCACACCAAAGAACGGCAGTATAAGTGTGGAGTGTGCCAAAAATCATTCACACAAAAAGGCAATTTGAAGATGCATTACAGAATACATACTGGAGAGAAACCTTTTAAATGTAACATCTGCAACAAAGCATTTAATCAGTCATCCAACTTACGTGCTCATCTGATGATCCATAAATATGCTTAATGAAACCTCTTCATGTGCTTTGCTGATAAGTTGTAAATTATCTTATCATCAAATACCTTCAACATAGCTTCTAATCTCCTATCCAACTTATATGTTTGCCAGATGATTCTTGAATAAACCTGATGAAACTTCTTTGTGTGCTTGTAACATTTGTAACAAATCATTTAATCAGTCATCCTACTTACGCACTCATCAGATGATCCTGATGAAACCTCCTCATTGGCTTTACTATTAAGTTGTAAATGATCTTATCACCATCAAATATTTGCTACGAAGCTTTTAATCCTTCAAACTTATATGTTCATCAGATGACCTATGAATGAAACTGATAAAACTTCATGTGCTTTATAAAAAGTTCTAAAGCTTATATCCAGTTAAATTCATTTTATATGCTTTTATTTTAATATAATTTTGAAACTTACTGACAATGAGATAATTGCTTTGTTTCACTGGGATTAGTTGGATCTAAATCTAGTATGTTCTAACGTCTAGCTTTCTTTTGACATACTACTTTATAATGCATAAAATGTTTTGTGTAATACTTATGTTTCATATGAAAATGAAGTTTATTTCTAACTAAATAAAATAGTAAGAACTGGAAGAAAAAGAGCAATTTGTTCTAATTGTAATATACATGTTTCATTCAGAGTGTAAGATATAGATAACTTTATTTGACTATATATAGTATTCCGCTTTATATTTTTTCCCCTTCTAATTGTGTACTTGTTTGTGACATCATACTCTGTTAAGTTATATTTGTTAATTTTGTAGCATCATGATCTGTGTTCATGAAATGCAACTCCTGGATAACACATGTCTATATATTTCATTAAACTTTGTATTGTATACCAGTAATATGCTATGTTTACTGCTAGGAAATATATTAAAAACTGCTCTATTTCTATTCTGTCCCCTAGTAGATTGTTGTATTTGTCGCTATTGAACTCTTCTCATGTAATTCTTTTTTTTTAAAACTATACACAGGGTTTTTCTTTACCAGTGTAACAAACTTATAAAAATGTATTTGGCACAAAGAAGAATCAAAGTTAAATAGCGATTCACGATTCTAGCCTTCTTTAAGAAGTTTCTGCATGCGAGACTTCAAAGCATTCTCTAGCTTTTCTAAGAACTCACTGTTGCAGGCATTTCTGCAACATAAAGCTGTTTTTGCCCATGCAGAGAAATTTTGGTTTAATTTTCTAGAATTCTTAGAGGGTTTAAAAAAAGAAACAGGAATCTCATTTACTTAATGTAACAAGAATAATCTTAATGGCGTTTTTTATATTTGGTAATAGCAAGAGATATTTGAAATAAAAGTAAGAAGCAGGCACAACTATCACAGCAAGTCTCCATTGAACATGTAACGTGTTGGAAGATTGAGTTGTCTTGCAGCTACAAAGATATGATATGAGTAACAAGATCTTCAATTGAATCTTCCTCTCTCATTGGTATTGGCATTTTGGACATTGCAGTTGTGCATTGCTCACATCTCTTCTTGTAAATTTGCCTCACTGGGTGCGAAACACCTTGCACACTACAGATACAAAATTCGATTCAATCAAATAGAATATGTTTTTTGCCTGGATTTACATTAAGGCCTTCGGCTCAAATACTCAATTCGAAGATCTTCCAGCAATAATAGGCCAATCGCCTATTTTTTGTCTCTAATGAATTTAACTAACAATTACTATTTTCCAATTTGTTACTCTCAGAATGTTTATCTTCTTTGGATAAATAGCCAGTAACACTGGTACCAGTAACAATTACTAGGATTACTAGTTTGTACTAGCAATTATACAAGCTAGTAACCCTTAGCAAAGTAGTAGTAAAGAAAACTAGTAATCATAGCTCTCATACACTCATATCATCTTTCTTCTTTTTTTTTCTGTATTGCTTGTTTTTACTACCTTGAGTGAATAGTATTGTTTTTCAATATAAGATGGTTACAGCTTTTCTGTCATTAAACTTTACATTTCATCTATCCTTCATTTTAAATATGCTGCTAAAAATGATGGGGGCATTTTAAAATACATATTTTTTTTTAAATTTCATTGTATTTTGTTAACATTTTATTGCTTATATCCATAAAAATAATTGATATTATTTTTTTACAGGGATCAACCAAAGAGAAGGTCTATATTTTTGTCACTTTTGTGCATATTCTACAAACAAAAAGCCTCACTTAAAAATTCACATAAATATGCATACTAAAGAAAAGCAATATGTGTGTAAAGTATGTCACAAGTCCTTCACTCAAAAAGGAAATCTGAACATGCATTACAGAATACATACTGGAGAGAAACCTTTTAAATGTGAAATCTGCCATAAAGGGTTTAACCAATCATCCAATTTGCGTTCTCATAAACTAAGTCACATGAAAAGAAATTTGTATATGCTTTGATGAACATTGAACAGCGAAATGCAACGCATCACATCAGATTTTTTTCTTCTTTTATAATTGATTTATTATGATTGAACATTGTTTGAATAAATTACAAATGAATTTTATCATGTGTCACAACAAATGCAATATTTAAATAAGCTAAAAAGCAAGTTTAAAAAATCTATGTACATTACTATATATTTTAATCAGTATTAATCTCAGAATTATTAGATATAAAACTTTTTTGTATTTGTGTTATTAAAATACATGTCCAAGTGCCTAAAATCATATATGTGACATTTACTATATATTTAATCCCTTAAATGATTTCTTCTTCTTCTCATTGGCACGACAGCCCAGGATGGGCCTTGGCCTTCTCAACAAGCCTATGCCAAGACATTCTTCCCTTAGCCAAGGTTCTCCAGTTAATTATCTTTAAAATTTGTAGGTCCTTTTCAAGGCAGTCTAAAAATCTTAGGTTTGGTCGTCCTCTTTTTCTTGTACCTGTTGGCCTGGCACAGAAAACTTTTTTGGTTGTCTTGCTATCCTCCATTCTTATAATGTGGCCTGCCCATTCCTTAAATGATTTAGGTTAGATTAAAAGGGATTTGCTTTTTTTTCTTTTCTTTTCTTGTTTGAAGAAAAAAGCGTTATGACAAATTTTTTTAATTCAACCTTAAATTCCCTTTATTGTTAAGAAATTCCTCATCAATTGCAAAAAAAAAGTTATGATTGAGAAAAATAATTTTTTAAACATAATATTGATTGGGCGTAGAAAGTTATTTAAGATAAACTGACGTGATATTTAACCTTTACCTGATAACCTTTTCTTCTATATTGCATTTAACTATATAGTTTCAAAAATACTAGGTACCAATATGTTAAAAGACGACTAATTGTGAAACATAGATAAACCTCATATTCTTTTTAACTAGGAACTTTAATTCGACAACAGCAGTATAAATCGACACATTTTTAAATAGCATTAAAATACTAAATGAGCCATAAAAGTACTAAATTTTAAAACCCTAATAATGTGTACCCTTTTTTTAAAAAAAAAATTTCAATTTTTTATAATGTAATATTTTTACTTAATCGTTCAAATTGTTGTTGTTTCTGTTTAGCAATTATAAAATCATGGAAAATAATGTTCTCTAGGTGGTTGGACAAAAGTGTCTTCTTTAGTTTCGTCACAAGTTTGGTATTCAGTTTATCTAAACATTATAATATTTTTCAAAAGCTTGTCTTAAAATATTTTTAAACATTTTGACTTCTTGTTTTTACTGTTAACTAGATTTCAGTAAATCATTTTCTATTAGTTTCTGCTTAAAGCTTGGCGTTTCTATTATTAAAAAGTAGGAAAAAGATAAACAAAAAGAACGTTCAGATATTCAAAGTATAGTGTAACCAGATACAAAACAGGCTTATTTCAAGGCATGGCCTATTGAGCTGCTCATGAATACAAAGTTATCCCCATAATTATTATATAAAAAAACTATTAATGCATGTAGTTTTTGTTCCTTGCTATATTAAAATTATTGAAGGAATTATGAATTCATTCAAGAATATTTTTTTTGTACCTATTGTACATTTTAAATTATGTTATTATTATTCCAATTGAAAAAGAGAAAACAATGGTTAAGTTATTTTATATATATATATAGCAGATTTATATTGAAATTGTCTCAGAGGTATATTGTTTTATACCATTGTTGTGAATTGCTTTGTACAAACAGATTTAATTAGAACCCACCCTGAAATAAGTATTCTCTTTTTTTAATAATTGTTAAATGTAATGCTTTATTATTTAACCATATATGTTTTGTTATTTTTTTACATATCAAAATGATGTTTCACACTATTTGTTAATGATAATTAAGGTTAACAATACTCTTATTACTTTCTCTGTTGTATTTTCCTTATTTATTATATAAATTGTTGTTTCATATTGGCATGATTGAAATTTTTAAGTGGAGAAAACTTGTGTCTTCAAAGTTATTTGAGTACTCCAACTGCAGAATTTGCAAAAATTCATTAAGATTTTGTTACTTAAAGTGAAAATAACTTCTGTTATGGTTTTGATTGACATACAGTAACTTATGTTTCGAGAAAATATTTACTTTCACTTACTAACACATTTGTTCTGTCTACTTCTCAATACATTTGTTCATTTTCTAAAATTGTAAGTTAAATAAAGAGGAAAGGTTTTTATGCTGCAAATTATATATTTATAAAACTAATATTGGCTAAATAAATTAATAATCCTTAGTGCCGTATATCATTCATTTTATTACTTTAAATTTGGCATTATACAATTCAGTTTATACTAAACAACATTTCTAATTTATTTGAAGCACTAGATTTATAAAAGATTTTTTACAAATTTCTTACATTTTTTTTCACTAGCATGGTGGCCCTTGACTTTCCTCAGAATTCCATTTTATACATTCCTGTTCTTGGCTAAGGTTTTCACGTTAGACTTCCTCTTTTTTGGATACCAGATGCCTTGACCAAGGAGATTTTCTTAATGATTTGACTGTCCTATTTTGTTAGGTATCTTGCCAAATTATACCTTTGTAAATTAATAAATTTAATGATGCCTGGCTGTTAAATGATTTAACATTTCCGAATTTGTTCTTCTCAATAATTGCCACACTTCATTTCTCCAAAAATTCTTCTCAATATTTTTCTTTCAAATCTAGCAGGCATCCCTATATCTTTCCCCCTCGTTGTCCATGTCGTAGAAATATATGTAAGGATGAATCTGATCAAAGTTTTGTAAAGGATTCAATTGGATTTTCTGCTGATGAAATTAGATTTCAAATATTTTTGTAGGCTAAAGAAACATCTGTTAGTAGCTGTGATTCTATTTCATGTCATTCATTGTGTTGATTTCGGATCCGAAATACATTATTGTTATATACTAATATATAAATGTTATTGACAACTGCAAATTCTCCTGCCTTGTTTTTTAAATAAAAGGGCTGTGATTCTCTTTCAACTCTCTGTCGTCATGTCATTCATTATGGGTTTTTTTTTCGGAACCTAAATACCTGAAGGTATTAACAACTTCAAATTTTCCTGCCTTGTTTCAAATAAAACGGCTGAGCCGCAATGGCTCCAGGAATAGAGTGTTCGCCTTCCAATGCGGCGAACTGGGGACCACAGTGCTGACGTGAAATATCCTCAGTGGTAGCTGGATCATGGGTTAGAGTCCCCTTGTCGTGAGGCTAACCCTGGGAGGTGCTCGCGGTCTTCCTCTTCATGTAACGCCAATGCGGGTTTGCTCCATCAAAATGTCCTGCACAAAGGCAAATTTTTCCCAATACTCGATCCAGGAGTTCCCTTGTTTTCTGGATTGGGTTCAAAATTACAAGGCTACGGAGTTGAACATTAGTACTTGTAAACCCATAAAACTGGGTCTTCTGATCAACGACAGTTATACAATAAAAATAAAACGTCTGCGATTCTATTTCGATTCTCTGGCATCATGTCATTTACTGTGTTTATTTTCTCTGAACCTGAATACCTGAAAGTATTAACAACTTCAAATTTTCCTGCCTTGTTTCTAATAAAATGGCAGTGATTCTCTTTTGACTCTATGATTTCATGTCATTCATTGTGGGTTTTTTTTCCGAAACCTAAATACCTGAAGGTATTAACAACTTCAAAAGTTCTTACCTAGATCGGGATAGCCTAATTGGTAGGACGTTGGACTCATGTTCAAAAGAACGAAAATTTGAATTCAGATGGCCGAAGAATCCCCGTGTATAAAATGGTGACTTGTGCACGTTAAATCTGTCGGGGTGACAAAGTCCTCCAAGTTCCATAACATGTCAATACCTCTGGGGTACTGATCCAGGACTTCCCTTGTCTAGAAATAATGTAAATGATCATGATAAATAAACACAGTATTAATTTTAATTGTGATATTTAGTTATTTATGTAATGATTGAGATCATTGCTTTTTATTATTCAGTTAACTTATTCTTATGCATCTCTCTTATAAATTTAAATCGCTTTCAAAGTTTGTTTTTTCTAACTTTTGTCATCAAATAAATTTTAGACTACTTCTGAGGGTAATTGTTAACTTTTCTTTTAATGATATTAATTGCTTTCTAGTTAATAGATGTTTTCCAGATTTTAAATTGATGTTGATCCTCTATTGGTTAATGTGAATATTTTCTGTGTCATTTTTTTTTCTTCTTCTGGATTTTATTTAACTTTTTCTATATTTTTTTTTCTACCTGCTGACTTTTGAATTGGAACTTGATTTGGATTCTTCACTATTTTATTTGTGCGTTCTCCACTTTTTCTACATTTTATTGTGCATTTTTTATCATGGTGTATCATGCATTGAATATTTATTTTTTTAATGTGATGACTTATTTTTGAGTGCTTCATAGGATTACCCAAAATAAAGCTTAAACTAATGTAGGTTCCATAATCACTGTCTTTAATGTGTATATTTAAAATCCTAGCCAAAAATTAATTTTAAAAAAAAGCATACAATTTGAGGATCAAAATAAAGAAAGCAAAAACGCCATCAAATTCACACAAATCACTAGTGAGGAAAGTGGGAGTTAAAACATAAAATCTGTTTGATTGCCAGAAGCAGAGAGGATTTGAAAGAGTATTGTTTCAGCACTTACAAGTTACTTAAAACAATAAGCTTGTTTTTGCTTTTAACCAACATTTCTCTCTAGTAAATTGACTGATGTCAATAGCATTTAATTTCTTCCTTAGTTAAATATAAGTTTTTAACTCTTAATATGTATACATATTCGATTGGGAATCTAAAAATAGATATTAAAAATGGTCATAAGATGGAATTTATGAAAGCATCTTGCATTCATAAATTCGAATCATTAAGGCATTATAGTTGACACTTTTTTCTGCATTTCTCTGAAAATATGATGTACGTTTATATATTTTCGCAATCCTGAAATTTAATTGAACTATCACTGTCTTTTTTTTTTCAATTCATTATCACTAAAAAATTAAAAAAAATTTGGTTTATATTCTAATAAAAGTATGATCATTCTTTTCAAACAGATGAGATTTCTTTTTGCTTAATGTTACAGCTTTTGTTTCAATTTTATGGATAATTTTGTTAATATTTTATTATAACTCACTTTTCTCAATATTTGTAAATTAAAACAGATTACTTACAGATTTCTTTCTGTTTCAGATACGTCAGCCAATCCTGAAAAAGAGAGAGGTTTGCATTTTTGTACCCTTTGTCCATATTCTGCTCTAAACAAATGTACTTTAAAATATCACATGAACGTGCACAACAAGGAACGAGAATTCACATGTGAAGTGTTCAAAAAGTCATTTAAGACTAAAAGTAATCTGAATCAACCACACCAAGATTTGACTTGATCTGGTTATTGGCAAAGTACCTGGTCGTGGTAGCGGGCACCATACTTCTAAATCTGTAATTTGCCCTAGGACAACTGTGACTAAATAGCATAGGTATTTGGAGAAAAGTTGGTGGCTGGAATAGCTTGCTGTGGTGCACAGCTCATGTAATGAATCGTGAGTGAAGATATAAAATGAGAAAATATCTAGAAAATCTTAATATCAAATAATGAGTGTTGAAGTTCAAAAACATTTTAATTATCTGAGAGAGAACAATTAGGTAAATATCTAGGGGTGGTATACTCCCGAGCCGAGAATCACCTTTGTTCCTTTCGTCTTCTTCGGAATATTCAAGTGAGTAAAAGAGGGGTGGGCTATCTGTTGTACCTGACATTATCCCATCTGAGAGTAGGAAATTAACGATAGGGCAGCAATGTCTAGTGTCTTGGATAAGTTCCTTATCTGATATAAATTGAGGTTTGCAGTACTTCTGGCATTGTTGTAAAAAGCTTGCATTTAGTTGGTTGGTGAATCCACTAATTGTGTGTATTTTTAGGTCTCTTCTGATATATTTGATCGAGATGTGCCAGGGAGCACCTGTTATCCTACGTAAAAATTTATTTTGGAGAGTCTCTAGTTTCTTAATTTCAGTATTTGTCAGGCAATTGCAGGCTGGACTAGCATAAGTAATAATTGGTCTTATGCAACTTATGTATAAATGTCTTTTTAGGTTTAGAGGAAGTTTCGATTTTGCGTTCAGGATCAGTCTTAGACTAGCAAAAGCGGCTTGAGCTTTAGTAGTAATGTGATCATTCCAGCAAAACTTGTTGCTTAGGGATAAGCCTAGATAATCTGCAGAAAATAGAGTGACTTTGTTTGCTATTCTTTTTTCTTCTTATCATCAGCTTTGATTTGTCGGTATTTATGGCTATTTTATTTTTAGAGCATCAATCTTCTATTGCAGGCATGGGTTCATTTAGCTTTTTTTTTTTTTGCCGCTTGATTTAGATTGATGGGTCTGGCGACTATCGCCGTATCATCAGCATAAAATCCAATAGTATAATTTGGATTATCTGTAGCGATAGGGAAATCGCTACGCACACCAAGATATACACAAAGAGTGACGTTATAAATCTGTGAAAAGACATATATTTCTAATAGTACACTGCAGTTTCATCGGTTGAATCAAGCTAAGAAAAATTGGTTCCATTTATACTAATATGGTATTGTATTAGCATTATAAGTTAGAAAATTAAAGCACTACTTAACTCTAAATATATTTTGATTTTATAAATTTGCTGAACTAGTGAATTATTTTAAATAATGCTTTAGATTGTTTTTCAAATAGTGCACACTCTTTATACAGTAGTGTGCATTCAAAGTGTGTAAGGTAATCCGATGAGACTTATCTAGTGTGACGTAAATGAACTACAACCGATGCGACTTAACATGGTACATTCTAAGGAGGGACTTCGTAAATGCAACATGTGCTACAAAAGAAATTTGTTTCCTCTAACAGACTACAGATTCGTAAGTTGAGTCAGGATACGGAAAACTAAGTGTCTTTATACTAATGTGGTATTATGTTATTATTAGGTATATGTTTGAAAATTAGCACTTTGTACTTCTTAACTTGTATATTTTGATTTTATATGTATTTTCCTAACACATGAATTATTTCATTTACTTCAAACTGTGCACATTCTTTATTTTGTGATGCTTAAATTGCGTAACTAATTGATTTTTAACCTGTGTTATGCTGCTGTATTGTATTGATTTGTTTTATCATCTGACACCTTTTTTCACAGTTTGCTCATTATTTTTTAAAGAATATATTTAATACACTGACTTTTATGCTCAAAATTGTTTTTTTGTCGTGATAATTTATTGTTTTAAAAATACTGTTGATGTTATCACAAGATATTTAAAGCCTCGAATATTTGAAATTCGAACTTTACCATTACATATGGCCACTAAGAAATGAAATAATGTTTAAATAGCAAACGGCTATCAAAATAATTTTTCTATTTTATTTAAAATTTTTAGGATATGTTCAATGTTGAAAATGTTTGTTATTCATTCAAATATCTTTGTAGGAACCTTTAGTGATTACTATAAAGAAGGAGATTTTTATTTTTGCTTGTTCTGTACTTTTTCCACACCACATAAAGGAACCTTGAAAAATCACGTGAACATGCATACTAAAGAACGACAACACATCTGTGGAATATGTCAAAAATCCTTCAACCAGAAAGGCAACCTGAAGATACATTATAGAATACATACTGGAGAGAAACCTTACAAATGTGATGTCTGTCATGAGACATTCAATCATACATCTAACTTACGTCGTCATAAATTAATTCATCTAAAGGAAAGTTTAATTGTGCCATGAGACATTCAATGAAACATCTAACTTACGTCGTCATCAGTTTATTCATCTAAATGAAAGTTTCATTGTGCCATGAGACATTCAATGAAACATCTAACTTACGTCGTCATAAGTTTATTCATCTGAAGGAAAGTTTCATTGTGCCATGAGACAGTCAATGAAACATCTAACTTACGTTGTCATCAGTTTATTCATCTAAAGGAAAGTTTCATTGTGCCATGAGACATTCAATGAAACATCTAACTTACGCCGTCATCAGTTTATTAATCTAAAGGAAAGTTTAATTGTGCCTTGATAAGAAACAACAAACTCTGCCATGACCTATCGCCTGTTCTTTTATTATTATTAAGAAACTCTAATTTCAATGACTGGTAAAAATGACATTTTGATCCCTGTTGGGGGCCGCCGATAAATGATGCCACACATTTTGTTCAATATTTTTAATCTCACAATCGTCAAAACATGTCACACTTCGCCAAATCATTTACAACTTTTGTCTCGTGACACGCTATATTATAAAATCATATGCTAGCAAATTAAAAACATTATAAATTACATTTCAAGTTTTGTTTTTATTCTTTAAGTACGTTCTTATTGACATTTCGAGGCATAATAATAGTATTTTATCTGTTTATTTTAAATAAGGAATTCTTTCCAAGTGTGACATCATTTACTGACGGCCCTTGGACAACGTTGTCAGTGTCTAAATTGGTTTTAATTCTTCATACTTCCTCACCTGTTGGTGGTTACCATTTCAAATTCAAAGTGCATCTTGGAGTGTTTGCATATCAATAAATATAATATCAGAACCTCCAGTTTTCAAGTCATTTGTGTAGATAAGTGTGATTCCCAAATTTTTTTTTGACTATGGAACCGTAAATAGTCGAACTTCTTTCAGCGGAACTCCGATTTTGTAAATAATGAAGTAATACGTAAACAATATAAAATAAAGTATATAAAAACAGTTGCGAGAGTATCAACCAATCAAAGGGTACTTTATTTTGAAATGATGATAAAAGGATTTCATCATAAGTCATTTATAAGTGATGATAAAAGAAATATAAATACTTCTACATTTTATACTCATACATTTTTCAAAATTGACGATAGCAAAATTTAATGTATACTCGTATTTTTTTTTTCTACATCCATGTTAAAATTGGGAGCTTTTTTGAAAGTCTGTGTGTATTTTTACTTTAATACTCTAAATTGAGACAGGATATTCCCCGGATTTTATAAGATTAAGTCAGTCTACCAAAGTAGCAGTTGGTTCGTCAGATAATTCTGTTGTTGTGCTTGTTGACTTCAAAACGAATTTAGTTTACTTGTGCTTCATAAATGCATTTTCATGTGTTATTTATGTATTTTCATTTATATTATTGAGTTTTATTCGTACAAAAATGTTATTCAAGTTGGAAAAAAAAATCGGAATTTTTCATATATATTATCATGTATAAATCAAAAATCTCTTCTTTTTTTTTCTGTCAATAAAAACTTATTTTGTGAAAAAGACATGTCATTATTTAAATCTTGGTATCTTTCAAGAAAGATATTGGATCACTCGTATTTCCTTTGAAAAAAAATCGGATTCATATTTAATCAAAATATTACAGAAATAAATAGTTCCACCTTGAAAGTCATGTGCTTCATGCAAAATTGGAGTTTTTTTATAGAAATTTATAGTCTTTAGTGGCTCAAATTAAGACGTTTCTTAAAATTTGAGGTTGTACTATTTTACAATAAGGCATTAATGTTGTGTAGTGAAGTAGTTTTACGTGCACAGTGTTAGAACGCTAGAATAAAATAGTTCTCTTTTGTTTACAACAAGGCAGCAATGTTGTGCAGTAAAACAGTTTTACAGACAGTATTCCACTTTCCCAGAGTCGTAACAGCAATAGGGTGCAAGTAAAATATGTCACGCGTTCCCTTTAATGTCGTGTTTACAACAATGCTGTGCAGTAAAACAGTTTTACAGACACAGTATTCCACTTTCCCTAGAGTCGTAACAGCACAAGAATGAAGGTAAAATGTCATGTGTTCCCTTTAATATTGTGTTTACAACAAGGCAGCAATGCTGTGCAGTGAAACAGTTTTACAGACACAGTATTCCACTTTCCCTACAGTCGTAACAGCACAAGGATGAAAGTAAAATATGTCACGTGTTCTCCTTAATGTTGTGTTTACAACAAGGCAGCAATGCTGTACAGTAAAACAGTTTTACAGACACAGTATTCCACTTTCTCTAGAGTCGTAACAGCAATAGGGTGCAAGTAAAATATGTCACGTGTTCCCTTTAATGTCGTGTTTACAACAATGATGTGCAGTAAGAAAGTTTTACAGACACAGTATTCCACTTTCCCTAGAGTCGTAACAGCACAAGGATGAAAGTTAAATATGTCACGTGTTCTCTTTAATGTTGTACAGTAAAACAGTTTTACAGACGCAGTATTCCACTTTCTCTAGAGTCGTAACAGCATAAGGGTGAAAGTATGTCATTTGTTCCCCTTCATGTTGTGTTTATAACAAGACATCAATGCTGTTGCTGTAAAACAGCTTTATCGACACATTTCCCTATTTTTTTCCTGGGGCATGATAGCTCAGGGGTAAAGCTATAATGAAACTCATTTGTTCTTTTTAATATTGTGTTTACAGCAAGGTAAGGTAAACGCAGAATGTTTCTTGAAATTTATAATTGTATTTTACTAGAAAACATTGATACTGTACAAGGAGATAGTCTTACGTGCACAATGTTACAGTTTTCGTAGTACGCCAGAACAAAATCTAAGTCGCCTGTTCCTTTTAATGTTATGTTTATATGGCTGTGATACTGAGCAGTTGAACGATACGTCCTACGATAATGTTTTCATTAATACTCTGATACTGAGCAATAAAATTGTTTTGCTAGTGTATCGTATTTTGCTGGTGATCATAACACGGGAAGTGTTTCCTATGATCATACATTTTCATCAAGAAATCAATGATGCGCAGTAAAATTGTTTAAGATATACAGGCTTGTATTTTTTTCAGAGATGAAAAGAAATAAAAGGTTTTCCTTGCTGAGGAGATGATAGCAAGGTTATAGTGTTGAACAGTGGAGCAGTTTTATAGACACAATTACTTGTATTTTCTCCTTCAAAATCCGAGGGAGACAATAATATATGAAACATTTTTTATCGCTTTTGTCACCTCTGTCAGTCTTTTGGAAAGTTATATTGGCAATCATAGAACGCCTTAAATATTTTGGTTGCTATGATGACCTTTTCATTTGTTATCCGTGTCTTATACAATATTATTTTTTATTGAAAAGATTTTTCATGAGTTTAATTACTTTTTAATTCTTTGTGTTTCCGCTCTATTAAAAACATTATTCCGTTCGGTAAGCATACAGAGGGTATATCATTTAGATATAACCCCCGGTTAGCTTAATGCACTTCTGCCAATCAGTGTACCCATGGGAGGTCCTGGGGGCTTTAGTAAACTAGGAATGTTAGTATACAACTTTTTCGTTACTCAGAAAATGAAAGTATTGACCCCTGACTTGATCTGTTACTTCCTGCATCGCGTTGAATGTTAGAGGCCAGTTCACATATTATTTCCGAATACCAACACACCACAAACAATTTTGTGCAATGTTGCTGAGTATTCTGTTTTAACATCTTTGATTGCCGCCTACTGCAGACTTGAAGCTTCACACTACCCTATTCAAATCAATGACATTCGCTTATAATTGAATCAATGAAACATAGCCATATTACTTGCATCTAGCGCGATGTAATTTGATTATGTTTGATTGGATTCAATTAGACTTATCAATTTGATTATATTTGTAGGAGAAATTAAAGTAGTTATTCCCAGTGGGCATCAAACTATATTGACTTACACACCACCCAACTAAGGCCAAGCACCTGTAGCCGTTGTCTTTTAATGGCTATGGTGACTTACATACTTTTTTTTTAAAACGACTCTAGATTTATGTTTTTTATATAATTTTTCTTCTTGACTATTGGAGTTAGTATTTTTTAAACACACCTACAAATGATTGGTTCAAACAAAATATACAACAATTACCGAAGAGAAAGTTCATAAGGATTATAGAAATAACATTATTACTAGTTTTGACTGCGCATTCAGTTCACAGGGCACATATATATTTAAAACAATTTAAATCGTTTTGAATATGACTTCTTTATTAAAATTCGAGACAAGTCTATTGAATTACAGTGGAACCCCGATTTTACGTTGTCCGTTTCGTACGTTATCCCGCTTCTTACGTCATTTTCTGCTGATCCGTGAAAATTGCCTATACCGATAATGTTAAAAAATCCCGGATTTTGCGTTACCCCTTTTATGAAAATCCCGCTTGATGCTTTTTTCTACAAACAGATCAAAAAAAAAAATTTTTCTATTCAAAATAGTTTTACTCATTTTTCCGTGCTAGCATACCAAATGTCGGTTTTGTTTGAGTTTGACAGCTATAACATTTTTTCTCATTTTCGAAACCCCAGTCATCGTGTTCTTTCCTCGAAAGTAGATGTTGAAACGAAAATGCTTTTCTCTGGCCGAAAAGGCTGAAATCGTCGAAAAAGCAAAAGAATTTCATGGCACTAAAGTTGATCTTGCTAAATCTTTGGGTATTGCTTATTCAACTTTGCAAATGATTTTAAAGCAAGAAGCTTCAGTAGAACTAAACGCTGAAAAACTCGGAAAAATTGCAAAGAAGAGAAAAACCTTAAAAACATCTCCGTATGATGAGTTAGAAGAAATTTTAATGAACTGGTTCAAGGAAGACAGAGCAGCAAAGATTCCTATAAATAGATCCATCTTGAGAGAAAAGGCTCTTGAAATTGCTGAAAGGCTTAAACTCCAAGGCTTCAGTGCATCAAATGGCTGGATCGATCGATTTAAAAAAAAAGGAACAGTTTATGCTTCAAATCTATCTGTTGCGAATCCGATAGTGTGGATATGACAACTGTGCAACAGTGGAAAGAAGAAACTCTGTCAAATTTATTAAAGGGCTATAATCCAAGTGACATATTTAATGACGAAACGGGATTGTTTTTCAACCTATTGCCAATTAAGACATTGACAATTAAAGGTGAAAATTGCCATGGAGGAAAGCTTTCAAAAATGCGCTTGACTGTTTTGCTCTGTGCAAATGCCGATGGAAGCCGAAAGTTAACGTCTCTTGTGATCGGTAGAGCAGAGAAACCACGGTGTTTCAAACATATCAAAAGTTTTCCTACCGATTACGATTCAAACAAAAAAGCATGGATGACGCAAGCATTATTTAAAAAATTTCTTCGAAAACTGGATAAGAAAATGAGTTTTCAAAAGCGCAACATAATTTTATTCCTAGACCAATGCACTGCTCATTTAAATCTTAAATTGAAAAACGTGCGAATAGATTTTTTCCAGCTAACTGTACGAGCAAACTTCAACCACTGGATTTAGGAACTATACGATCATTTAAAGAGAGTTACCCCTTATGAAAATTTAAGGTATATTTAAGGTTGATTTGAGGTATTTTTGAGGTATTAAGGTTGTTTTGAGGTATATTTGAGGTATATTTAAGGTTGCAGAGAAAACAGAAATAAAAATTATACCTCGTAAAGGTTGTAATTAAGGTGTACGAGGTTGATTTATATATACTTCAGCTTGTTTTGAGGTTGTTTAAAATTCACTTCAAATCATCCAGACTGATAAGGTGATTTTTAAGGTATACCAGGTTTATTTTCTTACATTTGTAACAAAAGAGGTATTTTTGAGGTGTAAAATTTTTTACCTTATTTCAACTAAAAAGAGTGAGATATTTATTGAGGTATATGAAGTCATTTTATTTATACCTAAGCTTATTTTGAGGTTGTTTTAAATTCACTGCATAAATATTTCAATTTAGAT